AATCAACAGGTTATCAGGCTTAAGGTCTCGGTGGATAACCCCCCTCTCATGGAGATGCTCCACTCCCAAGACAACTTCTCCCAGATATTTTTTGACCCAATCTTCAGGAAGGCCTCCTAGTACCTTGATGAGAGACGCGCAGTCGCCTCCGTTGAGATACTCCATGACCAGATATAGATAATCTTTGCTAGAAAACGTCCAGTATAGCTTTGCAACAAAATCGCTTTGCCCTTGCCACATCATGATAGCACGCTCCGCTTTCACATTTCCAACTTGATTCTTGGCAACCATGTCTGCTTTTTTCAATACCTTGATAGCGAAATACTCTCCAGTCGATTTCTTCTTTGAAAGATAGACACTGCCAAAGGCTCCTTTACTGATGGGCTTGATAATCTCAAAATCTTTAATCGACGGCTGTGACGACCGTGGCTGGGGAGGAGGCTGGTTATTGGCATTGAGGCGCGGAGATGGTGGTGGCTTCATAACGAAGTCTGAAATGGCTGCAGACGATTGTCTCCTATGGTGTTTGGATGGGTGAGTAACTGGAGAAGAGAACTCGCTGCTCGGGAACATTGGTGACGCTTCGGGAGAAACAATCCCTTCGTAGCCCAGGGGTATCACTCGAGCCTTGATCCGAAGAGGGGAGGAAGGCTGTGTCATCATCCGCGACGGGGATTCTTGTCGTCGAGGAGAAGACGTTTCTGGTATGATCAAGCTCCGTCTATGCCGTCTGGAGCTGGCCGCACGCCGAAGGTCGCCAAAGTCAGAAATGGGGGACTCGGTCCTGTGAGGTCCTCGGGAAGCCACCGATGATGACCGCAAACTTCCTTCGCTCTCGCCAACGTCGCTCTCAACTGGAAGAATAGACGCTCTGCGCGAATCTCGAGACTGATTCAAAATACTCAACCCACCCGGGTGGGATCGTGGAGTTGGGCACTCTCGGGGGCTGCTGGATCGAGTAGACCCCACAAACGACGTCGGACGAGACCGACCGAGTCCTGTAGACATGTCCACCTGGCGAAGGGCAGCCGCCAAGGCAGAGGGGCTTGTAACGGAGTGTTCAAACTGCTCGTCACCAGTGCGACTCTGTGGTTCTTCTACTTCACTTCTCGCGTCAATCGCGTCAATATCTTCAGTGTCTGTTCGCTGCTGCTCATCGAGCTCGTCTTCGCTGGAATCAGTAAACCTTCCCTCAGCAATGCGAGCGGCTTTTCTGGTCGCTTCATCAATGCAATCTTGCACTAGAACCGCGAATTCAATCCGGATTCTCTCTGCATATTCAATAATCTGTCGATGGCGAAACACAGCATCCACCTTTGTTCGGGCAGCTTTTTCGGTATCTTCGCAGAGCAATGCCAGGCCCTGTTCTTGCTCAAGGGTGTTTGAACTTGGTGACGACCATTGAAGTACTTGTGATATCCTCGACTCTGATTGAGGCGACTGGGTGCGTAGTTCCCAGTGACCTTGCAGCGAAGAACTCTCCTTGATCCCTGGACAGCTGATTTCGATGGCGGTATCGCATAGATCCAGCAGGAGCTCTACGATACGGGCTTGCGGCCTACGAATGGCAAAAGAGCGGGCTCTAGCATGCCCAAAACCGCCAGGTCTCTCTCGCGAGCGAGCTAGCGATGTCCCCGGGGATGACTGTGCCGAGGGCGGAGGACCAATGGGCTGGCCCTTGTATTCGGCCACCGGAAGATTTGGCGAGTCGCCAGAAAGAGATCTGCTTTTGCGTGTCTCCAGTGCGTCGAGGACCCTGACGATGGCGTTTCTATGTTCACTCAGACTTTCTTGAGCCATTTGCACATCCATTTCAGCCCGATGTTCTTGTAGACACAGGTCGGTATGCTTCTCGAACCACCAAGGAGGTATCTGACGCTCGCAGATGCGACAGAGAACTGGAGGCGGAGGTTCTGGCTCTTCTGATTCCTCGCTTGCGGCTTCAGCAATGCGAGTGAGGATGCCGGCGAGAATTTCGACCCCTGAGCCTAGGGAGTCGACAATCACGGCAGGGAGGTCGATTTGAACTTCATGGGGTATCCACGGACGAATCATCCACATTGTCTAGATCATTAACCAGTCAATAAATTATGAATTTAGAAGCATGAGAAGCAGGCGAGAAGAGAGTCTCTTGTTCATCTGCTCCAGGCCAAGAGAGAGGAAAAAAAAACGTACATGGCTTTCGCCTCCCGATACGCTGTCATATACCATGATGCCCTGTGCTTCAAGGTCGGCCATCTCCGTCGGTGGGACATCTGATGAATCAAGAGCCCCAATGCTGTCCAACGACCGCAGTTTGGAGAGGGGCCCCAAGATGACGGAGAAGCGGACCCTGTGGCTCTTGGAGTCGTCCCTCTTCATCGAATCAACCACATCTGTAAAGACACACTTGTTTTCGCTGGCTATCAAGTCGGAAATGGGGACGCCTTCGACCGACTTGACGGTTGTGCCAACGACATCGGCCCACGAAGGACTGACCCATTTGATGGTACCATCAAGGTTGAGGTAGGCAATCGCATTCAGCGTCTGCTCGGCGGCCTCGCGCAGCTCCTCTCGTTCTTCTCGGATGTCCTGGCTGATGGATCTGGCCATGGCCGTGGTCTGCGAGGCTCGCAGCGACGAGACGGCCGGCGGGGCCAGCGAGACGATGGCGGGACTGGATGGCTTGTCCATGGCGGCGAGGAGAGGGCAGCGCCGGGGCTGCTGAGGCGCCCAGTGAAGGCAAGAGCCGGCGGGAGGCTGTCGACGGCAACGAGATCGGCAAAGGCAGCGGTGATGGTGGGGGAGCTGGGGTTTGGTTCGTAGAGAGACTCGGGGTCTGGCGAGGCAGCCAGAACTACAGACCCATCAAGCTCGGATACATGACTGAAGACCGCCGGCGTAGGCTCACAGCCGCCTCTCTCTCTCTCTCTCGATCGCTGCGTCGTCGTTGCTGGCGCGGGGGAGACGTGGACAGGGTATGCCGGACGTTGCGTTGGGTCGTTGAAGAATGCTGAGTAAAAAAAAAAAAAATTAAAAAAAATAACAACAGGATGCCGCCGGGCAGGCAATCCCACCAGACCCCAGGCAGACGCAGCACCCTGAACAAGCTCGGCGGCCAAGACTGGACAGACAGACAGACGAACCGGTGAAGGCAGCTGAGCTGTGCTAAACCACAGGCCGTGAGTTACCTCTGAAGTCGAACAGGCGGCGGACGTTCTCAGGAGCAGCAATCGCTGGACACACAGGGCGGCAGGTCGGATGCCAGTCAGCTCAGTCGGGAGTGGTTCGTTTCACGATGGCTCAGTCCAATTGCTAATCGAGGTACCGGCCGCCGCAGCCAGGCCCCAGGCCAAACGGAGTATCTCTGGCCAAGCAGCAAAAACGGCCAAGGTCGCGTCCTCTGCTCCCCCCATGACACATTAAGCGGGGGACTGGCAGCCCGGCGGCCAATCACGGCACACCATCTCCTCAGGTCCTTTACCCGCCTGATCCAACCCTCTGCGGCGGCGCCTCTAAACTCTGCTGGGCCACAGCGCAGGCCGTAGCGCAGATGGGCGCTGCAGGCTGCACAGGCGCTGCAAAGGCGCTGCACAGTGAGGACCCAACGGGAGAATCCTTGGCGGCCTTTGCCTTGGAGGGGTCCTTCGGGAGGCTCTGGGACGGCCCCGGGGAGAAGCCCTCCAGCTCAGCAAACAGCACGCACCGCAGGGCATGAGAGAAAATTTTCTCCCCGGTCCCCTACTTGCACAATCAGCGCCCGCTCTCTCTGATCGGCCTGCACAAGGGCTGGTCTGGTGTCCCGACATGCATGCGGCTTCTGCGACCACGCCACGTCACGTAAGCGGGTGGTTTGGCTTGCTTTCCCTTTGCACATTCGATATGGTCGCGACATTAACAGCGGAGCGCGGGTAGCAAAGCCGCCTGGCCCCAATCGACACTGTACCGGCATTGCTCCTGATATCATTACGGCGCTGCAGCATCGCTAGGCCAACTACCCCAAAGCCTAGCCCGGTTCTGCAGAGGGTGTGGGTGGCCGTCATGGTTGTGATGGCAACGGCCTAGCATTCATGCGTGGGCACACAGTAGTCCAAGCAAGGAGACGATGCCGGGACGCAGCAATCAGTGCTAATCACGCAGGAAACGGCACAAGTCGTGGGGCCTTGGGCTCTGGACCTGGGCCGCGTCGGAAAGAATTCATCTAGAACGGCGACGTTGCACCAACCAGGCCTCATCGTTTGCACAAACGCGGGAGATCCAGAGGAGTCACCGAAAACGCCTGAGCAAATTCAGATCGGCGGCGCGGGCTGGGATTGGATCTGCCGCCCAACTCTCTGCCTCTCCGCATCTTGGGGCTTGGGGTAGTTTCCTCTCTCCTCTCCCACCTTTGCTCCGGTCTTAGCTCAAGCTGGAGCTCAAGCTCAATGGCTGCTTGCCTCCCACCCATTTGTTAGCGTTGCGACTTGGAAACAAAAGCAATGCAACTGCTCTACATGTCGGTGTTCGCACCGTGTATTAGCTCTGCAGCAGCAGACGTCTCGAATGAGCTGTAGCGCATCCGCGGGATGCATTGCATATGGCATATCACAAGAACCGATTACTACCACGTCCTTTTTTGACCCAGCCCATGATGCAGTTAGCTCTTCGTATAAGTGTCTATTTGGGTGTGAATGGCCAAGTATATGCAGCACGGTGCACATGTTCTACCACGAGATGATTCTAGAATGCTCCCTTGCGCCATTAATGGTCATGGCTGTCTTTCGTTTCTATTCTTGGTCTGTTATTTTCAGTAGACATTACACAATGTATTAGCATATAAGAGATCTAGAACCTCTTTACTCAAATCCGTACGCTATACTCCTTATACCACAGGGAGGCTATACGTAGGTATATACATGATCTCTCGAGATGAAACAGGTAGTCGACACCTAGTAGCCTGTAAAGAGTATTCATCTTACGCTGTTAGACAACGGCAATACTAGGAATTCAAAGTTCAACATGCCGCTTCTCTGCAAGCTGCATCAACTGGCGAGGCACTTCTGTCTCTGCGCTTCAAGCCACTCCCCCTTTTCAATCCACCGCTGCTCCAGCCAGCTGGCCAACTCAGCGTCAGTCTGCGGCAGGCTCTCAATGGGAAACCGGCGAGCGTGTACATGAAATTGGAAGCCGGCCCCCTCGCTCAGTCTCGGAACGCTCAGCGTGTCCCACATTGTCGGGGCCTCTTGGAACTCATTGCCTCGACGGTAAAAGATGGTCAGGTCGTACACAGCCCTGATATGCGGTGCCCTGCGGAGGTGCTGGACCGTGGCGATGAAGCCCTTGGTGCGGGGATACAGGAGATGCATGGGATGGGGCCGATCGGTCTTCTTGCACCATGCCTGCGACTCTTGGTATTTCCGCTGGCTGAAGCGGGTGGCCTCGCTGAAGCTAATGAGCCCTATATAACCGGGTCAACACTTACAGTACTGACGAGAGCACGGCCCATCGTCGTTGCCGCTGCTCTGGCAAGGGGGAACAGCCGACTTACAGGTCGGAAGCCTCATGGAGACCAGCCCGGCAAAGGCACGATCGAGCTCCGACTTGTCCTTGAGCCAGCTCCGGCTCACCATCGGCATGCCCATGGCCCAGAGGCCCCAGCCTAGGAAGGGCACGAGCCGAAGCTGGCGCTTGGCAAAGTAGCGGCAGCGGCCCAGCATGCCCTTGCGTATCGCCAGGGCCTGGATCATATAAAAGTCGGCCCAGGCCAGGTGGTTGGAGACGACAACGGCAGATTCGCCCGCCGGGATGTCGTCACCAGAGCACTCGATCTGGGCCCCGTTGGCGTATTCGAAGATGAGCTGAATCCACCGCCACACCGAGCCGGCGATGCGAGACGACAGGTCGTAGACGAGCCCAGGGGCCAGCGCCTTGAGCGGCAGCATCAGCGACAGCGCTACGTCTGCCAGCAGCAAGTACACCAGCCAAGGCGCCGTCAAGGCGAGTCCGCGGAGCTGTCTGATTAGCGACATGGGAGTACAGTAGGTAGTACTGAGTCGTATTCTTAGAAAACGCAGCTAGTGGTAGCAGCAGTAGCAGCTCAGTCAGCAATCACTTACAACAACTCCTGATGCAGGATCTATTATCACAATTTCCTCTTTGAGGACATGCCCTCTTATCCATGAGTCTGGATTGCAGTGATTGAGACGGGATCTGGTGGTCAGACCGTCGGTCCACATGACGCAATGCCACAGCAGTGGTAGGGCATAGCGCCAAAGTATTGACATGTATTCGGTACCTTGTAGTAGATGGCTGCTTGCATCTTGTACTAATGAATACCAAGAGCTTCAATGGCGATGCTCATTTATGGGACATTAGCAACGGCTTCTAATACCCATCTTAGGTATTGATACTGATAAAAGGGAGGGTGAGACTATGTTGGCTCAGGACGACTGCTCTCATGCAGCTTCTCGGGCATTTAAAGGCTAGGTACAAAGGTGATGCTACGTGCGGGCTACGAACCACAACCCTCCCCATATAAGAAGATGGGCCAATTTATAGTATTTTGATACGCAGGTGGCTTTCACCAATCATCAATCGATGGCTGAATCATTGTTTCACTCTTGCAGCCCACTCCCGCCGCGGGTTGAAATTGCCCAATGTTTCGTGTCACCACGGCGAGCGGCTGTCCAGAAGGCGTCCAGTGCTTACGGACCAAGAATAAGAACAGCAGCAGTCTCCGGCAGATAGTCGAGGACGGTACACACATGTAAGCATCAAATAATGTGGTCACCGCAGTACCTATTACTCGTACAGGAAAGGTGACTGGCGCCTGAAGGGAGTTTTGGACCCTTAGCGCTGCGAGTCGTCGCGCGTGGGCTCATCTTTGGCGAGCATGTTGTTGAGTTTGGTCAAGACTTGACGCAAGAGGTGGCTTTGCGAGCTTGGCGGCCGCTGCTTTCGCCTCTCGCTATTCGGGGTTTCTGGTACTAGTCCATGGAGTGAAGCACCTTGATTTAAGCATTGCCTTTTGCTTATTACAAGGCCGAGACCTGATGTTGCGTATTTGGGTTTTCAACGACCGATCTGCTCCGGGGGCTCAGCCAGATACGCACGGGTAGTACGGCATCACCGCGATACTCGCACAGAGTACTTGCGGCAGGTCGGATGAGTCTCCAAAACAAAGTCTTATTACTCCCTCGTCCCTGTTGTTTATGATCTGCACGACCCGAGACGGGGACCCGCGCAATAAGAAGTTGATTCGCCTTGGGGGCATGTTCACTTCCCAGCAAGGCTGAGCCACGGTCTCACGATCCTTTCGAGCGAGTTACTCGTCGAGGGACCCATCGGAGCGTAAGATCGCACGTTCTCGCACGAAATACAGTGGGTGGTGCTGCTGGCGCTCTCCACCGGCTCGCCTAATCCTGCCAGGATCCATCGAGTCGGCTTCTAACTGCCCCCAGCGAACCCCGACTTTTAGGGCCCTCGACGCCCAGAGAGCTCAAGAACCCCGCTGTGTCTCGCGCCGTGCATTTCAATCCTCAACTCAACTGCTATTACATCCTGCGGGCATCCATTCACGGGCAATTGAAGCACTCATCTACCATCGCCATCACGTCTCTCTCTATGGCTACTGTCTCATAGCATCTCTAGCTCTTCATAATCGTCTTTTACATTGCCCTCCAGCTCGTTTCGCAAGACCCGACAGCTCCTAAGCAGACAGTGCAGCAGCTCCTCCAGCTAGCCCTTCTCCTGTGGTGGGTGCGGAAGCTCTCGCCCTATCGCTGCGAACGGGTGTTGCTTAGTATTCGCAACCGCTATTACTTCGGACGGTCCGCCTTTCTGCGCCGTATCTTGACCTGCATCCTCACCACCGTCGACAATCCAGACAATCCGCAATCACAGAGCTGTGATAGCGTGCACCGACACTCCTGGATTCCCCTTGACGGTAAGCTTCTACCTGCTCCCTAGAGGGCGCGGAGGGCCAATTTCGGCTTTCTATTTTGCCACACTGTGGCTGCAACCTTCTCGGAATCTGACGTCGCACGGTGGCTGACTTGTCGCAGTCGGCAATAGTATTTTAATCACTTCTCGCGCCCTGCCGCAAGCCATTGGACCCTCTCTACGTTTACATATACATCGTCCGGATTATCGCAAGCTACCATGTCATCGCTGTCTCCGGACCAAATTGAAGGAGGCGCCTCCCAGGCCTCGACAGAAGGCACTGACAAGGGTGTCCTCTCTTCCCTGAACCTCAACTTTTTCAAGAACCTATCGGACAAAAAAGTCACCCGCAGTAAGATATCCCGACAAGGCATATTCCCGACGGCGGTAAGAGGACCGACCGACTAATTACCCTTTCTTTCTGACAGCCGGTAATCCCCCCAAGCGACGCGGACCAAAGCCAGACAGCAAACCCGCCTTGACTAGGCGGCAAGAACTCAACCGGCAAGCTCAACGGTAAGCATCTTCTGTCTTGCGAGGCATTAGACATGCGTACAGTACAAAGCTAATCCGCTGTTTGCACTCTGCAGAACCCATCGCGAGAGAAAAGAGATATACATCAAAGCACTAGAAGATGAAGTCATTAGATTGAAAGAAGTCTTTAGCACAATGTCTCTGGATAAGCAAAAGCTGTATGATGAGAACAAGCAGCTCAAAGAAGTCCTGGCCCAGAGAGGCATTCAGCTCCCAAAGCTGAGCAGTGTGGACGACTCGGGTATCAGTGCCACTCAGGCGATGAGTGTAAGTGCTTCGGGCAACAGCTTTGCGCACGGCTCCCAGGGTGGCTTCTCGCCTACCGGCATGTCGCAATCAACCGGCATGTCAATGTCGCCGGACAACCGCCAGCCGTCACCTGCTGGCAACGGGGTTGATCATGAGCAGGCTGGTATTGACTTCGTCTTAACGTACGAGAACTCCTCCTCGAAGGCCTATCTTTCACCTCCCCCGCAGTGACCTCAACAAGGTTGCCACTTCACAGCCACGCGAGCCAAACTGTCGGGACTTGATGCGCAAGGGTCGGTATGCTAACGGTTGCGACTTTTGTCGAGGGATCTTGTAGGCTCGAAAAGCCTTGCATGGCACACATGCCATTCCTGGTTGACAGAGCGAGCGACGCTGACGGCGCGCCCTGTGGCCACGCCTTGATGGCGTCTTGCCCTCCTGCGCCGTTTCAAGAGCTGACCCCAGACACCCCCTTCGGCAGTAAACACACGCACGACCACGGCGGAGAGTTTGAAAAACAAGGCACATGGGAGCTCACCAAGGCCGATCTGACCACGCTCCTAGACCTCAGCAAACAGCTCAACCTAGATGGCGAGATCACCCCGGTCATGGCGTGGAGAATGGTTACGTCGCATTACAGGTTCAACGAATTGGCTCCGGGCGATTTGGAAAAGCTTTCGGAGGAGTTATTACGGAAAATCAGGTGTTATGGGTGAGTACATCTTTTGCGACTCATGACTGCTGCTATGGGTGTTTGTTTGATGTGCTAATCCAGTGAGCAGCTTTGGTGCTGTCATGGAGGAGTTTGAATTGCGGGATGCGCTAGAGAATATCTTCTCTGGTCGCCCAGAAGCAATGGTCTTTTGATTTCCACTCATGTTCCCTCCACTTCTCTCTCGCTTAGGGTCCCTCATTCTCGCTCCCTCTTATTCTCTCGCTTTATTCTTCTTGGTGTGAAGTCACCATATTGGATCTTTTCCTCTATTTAATGATGGTTCATGTATTTGTCTAAAGAGATTCCAGGACGCACCTTGGTCGCGTCCATGTCAATGGCGGTTTTGGCTTTGCTGTTATGTAGTTACGATGTACACACATATATATAAATGTTTTGAGTCACTAATCTGAACAATCCCGAGTATTCTTCACCCTTCTACGAAGCCATGACTACTGCCTACCTGTATTGATGGAGACTACTACGTCTTAAGAATTCGAGAAACGTTAAATGGTCTTCCATCTTATGCGACATTTCAAGTACCAGTAAACGCCGACTTCGCGCACTCTTCTGTGGCTTATGCAGCGATAAGATAACACACACAAAAAACCAAGTGGCGGTGCAGCTGGCAGCAACTGGTGGCGCGGGGCTTGCAACTTTTCTCGTTAGGCTGCCCCACCCCCCACCACAATTTCGATTCAATGTTGGAAACCAAATTCATCGCCAGCCGGACGAACGAATCATCACGAGCAAAGGGAAAGCCGCTCTCTCTTTCTCTCTACCCCGGCCTTCTGCGTTCATCATCTGAGTGAACGTCCGAAAAAAGAGAGAATCCCGAAAAAAGCAGTCAATATGGCCCAGTCACTGGACTATGCCAAGATTTGCGAGAGCTGCCCGCCAGGAGATGGCTGGGGCCCTTCAGTAACCAGCGAAATCACCCTGGACGGCGTTCCCTATGCGCCCTTCTCCAAGGGAGACAAGCTGGGACGCATGGCCGATTGGACTGCTGAGGGCAAGGACCGCGAACGTGGTGGGCGTCTGCAGTACAGCCGCCAATACAGAGGTACGGTGGCCTTTTTGATACTATACTTTTGGATGTTGCTGACGAGAGACTCGGAAAAATTTAGACCAGCAAGTTTATGGCACCGGCCACGCCGTTGTTTTCAATGCCCCTCCCGCCGAGGACGAGACCAGCTTCTCCGTCGTCAGCAACACCAGAGACTCGACCAAGACAAGATATGGTCGCGGTGCCGTCTTCACCCGTGGCCGAGGCCAGCGCGGCGGCCGTGGTGATACCCGCGGCGGACGAGGAGGCCAGTTCCAGCGTGCCCCCGGTGGCCGACAGGGCTACGGCTACGATCGCGGTGGACGAGGTGGTGCTGGTGCCCGTGGCGGACGCCGATTCGGCTGGAAAGACTACGACAAGCCTGCTCGCAACCGTGATGCCAGCATCAACATCAAGGCCGACTGGGAGCTCCTCGAGGAGATTGACTTCAACCGCCTGGCCAAGCTTAACCTCGATACCGACGATGGCGAGGACCTGGACGACTACGGTTTCCTGTACTACTACGACCGCTCCTACGACAAGCAGCCTGTCAAGGGCGCTGAGAAGAAACTCACGGCTATTGACCGTGCCGCCTACAACGTCACCACGTCCTCTGACCCCGTCATCCAGGAGTACGCCGAGAAGAACGAGGCCACCATCTTCGCCACCGACAGCATCCTCTCCATGCTCATGTGCTCTACTCGCTCCGTCTACCCCTGGGACATTGTCATTGTGCGCCAGGGCAACAAGATCTTCCTGGACAAGCGTGACAACGCCAACCTGGACATGGTGACCGTCAACGAGAACGCCGCCGACGCTCCCCTGGAGGCCGCCGATGGTGGAAAGGACGTCATCAACCAGCCCCCTGCCCTCGCCGAGGAGGCCACCTACATCAACCACAACTTCGCCAACCAGGTCGTGAGCGAGAACGAATCGAACAAGGTCCAGATGGCCCACGCCAATCCCTTCCACGACGCCTCCGATGACACCGATCCTCCTGCCAGCAAAGCCTACAAGTACAGGAGATTCGACCTCTCCACCAACGAGGAGGAGCCTGTCTACCTGATTGTCCGTACCGAGGTCGACGCCGTCCAGAAGAACGCTATCAGCGGCGAGGACCAGCTGGTCACCATCAAGGCCCTCAACGAGTTCGACAGCCGTGCCCAGGGCAGCGGCGGTGCTCTCGACTGGCGGACGAAGCTCGTCGCCCAGCGTGGTGCCGTTGTTACTACCGAGATGAAGAACAACAGCTGCAAGCTGGCCAGATGGACTGTGCAGAGCATCCTGTCCAAGTCTGACGTTATGAAGCTCGGGTATGCATACTCTTTCCTTTTTAAACCAAGTGCTTTCTTTCCTAAATATAGCTAACTCTCCATGTCTCCAACAGATTCGTCTCCCGCGCCAGCCCCCGAACCAACGATAAGCACGTTATTCTCGGCGTCATCGGCTGGAAGCCCCGCGACTTCGCCAACCAGATGAACCTGTCCCTCTCCAACGGCTGGGGTATCGTCCGCACCATTGCCGACATGTGCCTCAAGCGCGAGGAGGGCAAGTTTGTCCTCGTCAAGGACCCCAACAAGTCTATCCTGAGACTGTACCAGGTCCCTGCTGGAAGCTTCGATGAGGACGACAACGAGGAGGAGGTTGAGGAGGTTGAGGAGGAGGCTGAGGAGTAAATATAGGGGAGGTGGAGTGGTTTCAAAATACCTGACTTACATATGGTGTTGTCTTTGTTATTCACTTTTTAATGAGTGAGCTGGTTTTTCTTAAAAAAAAAAACGGCAGTATTTTTATGATGGATGTATAGGCTAGATTTGATCTCATTTCAGGAGCAAGGTGGCTTACTAGGAATGGATATAAGAAGACACAAAAGTTTCTCATCACTAATCGTTTCCATCCAACGCATTTAACCATGGCTACATCTCCTGTTGATAACTGTGATTTCTTTATTGTCTCTATCGACCAACAACTAGTACTTTTACAAACTCAAAACATTCTATCGTCGTTTCTCGTAGATGTACCCAACCGTTGTATCAAGTAACTCATGGCTGCTCTATATTCCGCGCTTCTTAACATCCTCTCCTCGCAGGTAGTAAAGAAATTGAATGAGAAAAGAAAAGTGCCCCCCGTCCATCCACCCTGCCCATTCTTCGCGCCCTACCGTTGAACTTGCCGCAGATACCACACTCCAACCTCTTGGAGAAAGTTCATCAGCGGTATGGACTTTGTAGGCTCATAGCCCATCCCGCGCAAATCGAATTCCTTCTCACGTAGCCACTCCCGTGCGACGTTGAACTGTGGCGAAAGGCCGAGATGAGTGCTAGCAAAGTACGCAGCTGCAAGAATCTGCCGATACCGACGACCAGCATCGCGATCTCTAGCTATGAATTCATGGGAATCCCACTCGATCTGGATTTCATCACGGAGGCATCCATCCAACGGCATCGAGTGAGAATTGGACAATTGCTTCCTGCGAGCTGCGTCAGCAAGCTTGATGCCCAAGGAGCTGATGTAATCGTGCTGCGGCCACATTTCCCTTGTAGGTTGCTGATGATGGTGTCGAAGATCTTCCAATCGATCAACAACGTTCAAACCAGTCCCAAGATTCTCGGCAGGTTGATGTTGCTGCCAATTCTTTTCTGGAACCAAGAATGAAATTGGGGGAAGGACGGGTTGAGAGGTGACATGCTGAGAGACTCTGCTTGCTGTTACGGAGACAGGATATCCAGATATCGGGTCTGGGATCGAAGCTATGGGGTAGCCTTTATTGTCAGAAGGAACCCAGTTTGGGTCGTAGTTTTCTCTAGACTCTTCGATAAACGGAAGCCTCCTATGGCTAGGACTGAAAGTGCTTCGTGCATGTTGAGCGGGATACCTTGAAGAGATTGTGTCCGTGTATTGAGTGCAGCTGGAAGGAGAGTAACGTAGCGCTGGTGCCACAGAAAGTGGTGGTTCTATAGGATTGCCATGATTATACTCTGTGTCTGAGGCTCGATCTTTACCATCAGTTTCAGGAACTGGCTTGTGTTTGGCTGCTGGACTATTATCCGCGGTTGATGTCTCCGTTGAGTCTTCAGCTGGCAATTGCTCCTGCCCTCGTCTTGTGCTCTTCGCAGCTCTTTGTCTTTTCACTGTGTTTGGTGGATCCTCATTGTTTTCCTGGGCCCGGTTCTTTCGTTTACGAATGTTTGGTGGAACATCCCAACTGACAGCTGTAGCATCTATTGTGTGTCTCCGATCATTCTGCAAGCGGCCAGCGACGCAGCAGTCTTGGCAAATGGATAACTTGCAGTCGCGGCACTTTTGCAGAGTCCCGCAGCGTTGTTTATGACAAAGGTCGCACTTGGCAGTGGATACATTGGAAGCATCCCATCCATGGTGAGCAGTGTCAAAGCTTGGCAGGGGGGTTCTTTGGTTGGCTAAGACGGCATTGGATCTTGGCGCGGAATCTCCGGATGGCTGAGACTCAGGGATGGCGATAATTGCGTGGTTCCTCTCCATAGGGTCGACACAGCAGGGGCCAAGCTGCAGGTTTGGATCCGCAGCTGGCATATTGCCTGTGTCCTCAGAAGAGTAGCTCTCTTTACTAATGAGAGCTGGCATCTTTCGAGTAACTTGTACCCAGAACGAAGAGCGTTGGTGTTTGTAAATATGACTCTATTCAGAGTTATGGCACTAGTAGCAATAGATATCTTGTGGTGGCGTTGAAGGCTGGAAACGACTAGTAGAAGTAAGAACAAATTCGCAGCCGACAAGAGAGATTCAATACCACACAAATAATAAGCGAATGTTTGAGAACCAGGGTTTTTCGAGGTTCTCGAGAGTGGGTGCAACGTAGGGAGATGGATGATGCCGTGGAAATTTTTGATCGCAGGCAGAAGGGAGTTGAAATAGGTAAGTTGGGAAGGGCCATGCCGCTGAGAAGATTTGTAGTCGCCATATATATAGAAGATTCACTGCTATGCAAAAGACAGTTGAAACAAGAGGCAAATGCATTTCGAGGGACAGGCGGTCAAGAAGGGATGTTTTGTGATTCAATGCAGGTGTTTTTGGCGACTTGCACGACAAATTGGGGAGAGCGAAATCGGAAGCGCCGTTGCAGCGAATTATAAGATGATCACAGCCGTTTGATTCGAACAGGCCGTGCACAGGAGAATAGGATCCGCCTCGGATTTGTTGTTATCAAGTTGAATTCGACAATGGCTTGATTGGCCACTGAATCATGGCCGCAATGAAGACGGTTCGCGAGGAAAAGAAAAGGAAAGGAAAATGAAGAGGAAAATTGAATTAAACAAGTCCAAATGCCGACATGCGATGACGGACCTGCAGTTGGACGGTGGAAGGAGCGAGGCTGCAACTGCCTCTAGCAATAGCCACTCATAGGTAGATGCCTGTAGTCACAAGAGAAAGAAAGAGAAATAGGATCATATGCTTCAAAGATTCGCTATTCTCTCCCTTGTTGTTATTTAATCCCGATTATTGAGGCTTCCAGCTTGTTGAGCACACGAGTGAAGCAGAGGTCGTCTATCGCTTGAATAACCAAGTGCCCAGTACCTGCTTCACCACAGGCCTCCATGCCCAGTAGTGGTATTGTACTACAAATTCCATGATATATCTAGCTTTTTATACATTTACTGAAGTTCTATACCGGCACCTATATGTAGTCACAGCACTGTTCCGACTTCTGTGAACACTCATCCAACAAAAATACATTTAAATCGCGGGGAAACTAGTAGTACTCCACGGCCTATCTGTGCAGAGATTTTTGGACAACAAAGCTACGAAGCATTTTTGTTCCTATTTGCTACTCGTGAAGACAATAGTATGGCCTTTGGCTTGCCATTTGCGTTTGATATCAATCGACGATGAACCATGTGACCTTTCCGGGATCGGGATTCTCTGGGAGACTAAAGTCATCTATCCCAAGCAACTCTTCTATCAGACTTATTTTACTACAGTCATGAAAGCTCATTTACTAGATCTGCCTTGTGGTTTTGCATAGATTTTCACATCTGCTTCTCCCCAAACAAAAGCTTACCTCTCTACCTAGGTCAAGACAGGGTAGCTGAATCAAGTTTTGACCAAGGCGACTTCTAATACATACCATGCTTTGTATGGAGATTTTTTCTTTAGCTAGGTAGTGTTCAGCAGTGTGATGAGTCGCATCGCCGTATCCAAACTACTCATCCAGCCCCTAGCATATAAGGAGTCTTGAAGAAACAGCTATTTAGTGCGGTTATGAAAGTGTAGAGGCCAATAGATGTAGCATTGGTTGTAGATGAAGCAGATCCGATAGATGAGATGGACAGGGCCCAAATAATAGAGTTGTTATGGTTAGACTACCTTAATCTCGCCAGATAATAAGGCGTTATTTGATCAAAGACCCGTCCTGCCACACATGCCCGAGTCTCATCCTGAAACAGGCAGACCTCTAACAGACCTCGCTCATCAATCGGGATGCCACGCCAGTAACACAGCGCCGGAAGGTACAAAAGTACACCTACCCACTAGGAGAGACGAATCATCCCGACGATGAGCACCGGCAGACAGAAATTGGACCGAGAAAACGACATGGACTCGCCACCATCGAGAGGCGCTGCGGCTAGAATCTCGAGGCCCGAGCACCGGCATGTCACCTGCCTCTGCCCTACATAAGTTCATCTCGTTGGCAGCTCCACCTCGTCGGTGCGGAGCAACAACTGAAGCAGACTTTCGTCCATCGATTACACGCAAGGCAGTTGGGCAGGTGTAGTACCCAGATTGTCAGAGCATTGCTGCTAGTGGCACGATTTAGCGCAGACACTACTGGAGATGGATGCTATTTCCATTTATCCAGCGCGATTAGTGCCCGTTGGCGGAAGTAAAAATGCTGGAACTCAATGGCTTGCACATCATGTATCAAGGCAAAGGCAAAGGCCGAAAACGCTGCGCTGCTACGCCACGTCCACGCAAGACTTGCAGCGAACAACGCGCCAACGCACCGTGAAAAAGCATCCATGGTCCATCCATTGATCCAGTGCAGTCTCGCCCCTGCCTGCGCCCTTGCATCCGTTTCTCCCTCCAGTCCCAAAAAGCGCCGCCACACACAGCCTCGTCAGCGCATCGGGGCCGAGCCAATGGAGCCAATGGCAGCTGATGCGACAGGGGCCCGCAGCATCGTTGGGTCGACGCCTGGCCGGAATCACGGCACGTCGCGGGCTTCTGCACGGGCTTCTGCAGCGGCTGGCCACCCAACAGCCAACGGAATAAGTGGCCATGGCGTTGAAAGAGAAGAGCCATGAAGAGGGTGGGTGTGGCTGATGGATGGCCTCAGTGCTGATGCCGGCATAGCTGAGAGACGATCAAGCTGGCTATGCGTAATTGATTGTATTCATGTTCATGCTCCTTGGAGTACAAGGAACAATAAGTTTGCGAGTGCCGTTCTTCATTTCCCACTGCCGCTCACACGCTCGATTACACGTACACAAGGCCGTGCTCTCGCCCCTTTTGCATCTGGTGCTGGGTACTGTACTACACGTACAAGCTTCATTTTCCTTTCGTCCCAAAGAGGGAGCCCACCACATTCACCCAGCCTCTCTGCTCTGCTTGTGCTCTTCTCTCACGGCATTGATTGTTTGATTCATCTCTTTGTGTATGTAACACTTACAGTACTTGTACCCAGCAACAAGTAATCCTCATCTCATTCTCCCATGACTCTTGGCCCCACCAGCACGCTTCCGTCTCCTCAAACAATCCCCGTCTGGCATTGCCCACCCCGGCCTTGTCGAGCTTCATCCTGAGCCAGGATCCTCAACCGCGCAAGACGGGCTGGTGCCTTTGCATGTCCCGTTTTAGCTGCACGTCAAAACGATGCTTCAAGCCAGGACAGGTACTTAGGCGCGCGCTGTCTCGGAACCTGTCCAGCCCCTACTGTAGCATAAACGTGTTGACGGCGGCGCATTGCCAGCCGGGGGGTGTCCTCAACTGTGATTTAGCGCTGTAGCATGGCGTCGCAGCGACCCAATTTCAGGTGCCGCTGCTATGGAGCATCCATGGACGGGACACCAGCCCAGCTCAGCAGCTCCAGCGGCCACACAGCCTCCCTTCCTTACCCACTCAAATGCTGTAACCCGCTAATCTTTATTTCCATCTGTAGCCCGCCTTTTTTAATCGTATTGAACCTTGCATCCCTCCGTACTTTCTCAATCCATACCATTCATAGTGCTACTGTACTCTGCTACTCTCGTTGCATTACCTTCTTTGCTCCAACTCGACTCTCTCTTCGACCTTCTTTTTCCCAACCCTAACCCTTCTCTATATTATCGCTGCGCGATCCAAGAGCCAACCAACAACAATGTCCAGCCAACAGTACTATAACCAGGGCCCTCCACCTCAACAGGGCGGCTATTACCCCCCTCAGCATCCTGACCAGGTAAATAACGGCCCTTCCTTCCAATTCAAACCTCCAAATGCACACCAAAGCGAGATCGCGAACCGATTGCCCCCTCCCGAAATCGAGATTAGTTTCCTGCTTGAACGAAAGAGCTCGGCAATCGGTCTTGTCATCCAGCAGTTGAATGAATGAAATGCGCGTGCCTACGAGTTCATGAGCGATTCGCTAACGAGACGCGCTCTCCCATTTCTTAGGCCTACGGAGTTCAGGGCCAGCAGCAATACTATGGAGCTCCTCAGGGCCAGCAGCCGTACTATCCTCAGGGCCCGCCCCAGCAGGAGGGAGGCATGCAGTACCAGCAGCAGTACCAGCAGCCGCAGCAGCCTCCCCCTGAGCAGCAGCGCGGTAGCGGTGGTAACCAGGGCTGCTTGATGGGCTGTATCGCCGCTCTCTGCTGTTGTTGCGCCGTCGAAGAAGGTTGCGAGTGCTGGTATGTGACGTTTCGTTCCATCACTTCTGCCAGTTTGCTAATGCGACAATCACAGTATCGATCTTTGCGAATGCTTCTTCTAAACCAACAACACCACATATCTTAGAGCTACAATGACAAGCGAAAAGGGGGGAAATAATAATGTCTAGTGTGGGAAAGGGGGTAGATTGAAAGCAAATGATTACAAAGGAAGGAAAGTGACTACCTTTTTTTTTTGATCTACTTGAGTTGCGCTTGGAGATGGAATGTAGCGCCAAGCTTGTTTACGAGCGCAAAACTGTGCGTGAAGATGACTGGCAGTGGATTGTGTGTGTGTTGTTATAACGCCGTCTTGTTTTATCTTTTTTTTTTTTAACTTATCTTTTCATACCCCTTCAATTTTTCTTCTTATACAGCAAAAGAAAGATATCAAAGCCGAGGGTGGTTACTTCTTCTTATTCGCTGTTTCGTGAATTGATTTGAGGAATAGTTGAGAAGATGGCGCAGAAGCTTGAGAAAAGCTTGTTTATTACCTATAGATGTTTGAATAACAACAAAGATTCCAGGGATTTTATTCTCTCTCTTTTTCAAAATCACCCCTTGGCTTTCAATTTCTACTATATTCACATAAAGATCAACACGGCATCTTGGCCGATTGTAAGTTTTGATAGCGTCAACTCTTAGCCTATGAACACTCAGAACGTAATCTCTCGTCACTTTGTCCAAGATGGTCTTTTGTTTCTTAATCCCTAGCAGCATAGGATTAGGGGCGTCTGACATCTTGAAATAGTATCTAATAGTATCTCTGTTGTACGCTCAAGTGTAGGTGCATTTTAGGGACAGATGCCATGAGGTTACAATTAGGCCAGCACATCGGTCCTCCAGAGCGCTTTTTTTTATCAAAGGAAAAAAAAAAGAGTCTTATTGGCAGTGAATCCACCATCTTAAGAGATAAGTTTTTAGCAAGCAACGAGCTGCAATCACGTTGCCTTTGTCTCATTACTAGATGAATCATCCACCTGCATGAAAGCACCAGATGAGACAAGCATAAGGAAAGACGGGGGCATCGATAGATTCGCTTTCATGATCCAGCACTGTTAGTAGTCAGCCAGCCAGAAAATCATCTCGTACTAGTCTGAACGTTTACTTTCTTGCCGAGAATCACTCCAAGGTGGACGATTTCATCTCGGTGATTGGCGTATGCTTTAGCAGTCCTATCTTTTCCCTAGTGGAAGGAGGTTCATTGCCTCTTTGGTCATACTTTTTTTATTATTATTATTCCTACTCTTTAGATTTCCTAAATCTACTATGTAGAAATCCCCTCAAATTTCCACGGCCTGGTTTCCACTTGATTTTCCGGCCTCGGTCACCCTTTATCAATTCAAGGCGTCTGATGCTCGTAATTGTGTCCGGATGCTTCTCCCCAAGCAACTCCCGTTGAAGTTCTAATGCCGACCTTTGTAATTCTTCAGCTTTGTCATACTGGCCCAGTACGCTTAATGCTCTTGCAAGGCATCCCATAGTTTGCAATACAAATGGATGATTTTCTCCAAACACTTCCCGTTGAATAACCAATGCCTGCTCATAAATTCTTTCAGCGTCGTGATATCGGCCTTGACAAAAGTATGTTGTTCCAAGGTCTTTCATGCTCCTAGTTGTATACGGATGCTTGTCCCCCATTACCTCTCGTTGAAGATCCAGTACCTGCATTTGCATTCCTTCAGCTTTGTCGTATTGGCCCTGCGCGCCAAGTGCTTTTGAAAGCTCCGCCATGACCTTGATTGTAAATGGATGTTTCTCTCCATACAACTTTTGATAGAGATGCAACACTCGATTCAGAATCCGTTCAGCTTCAGCAAATCGATCCTGTGAGCAGTATATTATCGCAAGGGACCCCATCTCCCTCAATGTTTGAGGATGCTCCTCCCCATATTGCCCCTGTCGGAAATCCAATACCTGTTTCTGTAACTCTTCAGCCTTATCATAGTGGCCTTGTCCATAGTATGTTTCCACAAGGTCTCTTATACTCTTGATAGTATCTGGATGGTTGTCCCCAAATTCTTTCCGTCGAAAGTGCAGTATCTGCTTACAAATCCCTTCAGCTTTACTATATTGGCCTTGCCAAATATGTACTACCGAAAGGTATGACATAGTCCACATTGTATCAGCATGATTTTCCCCGAGCACCTCGCATTGGATATTCAATGCTTGTTTACAAATCCCTTCAGCTTCAGTATATCGGCCTTGTTCAGTATATATAACCGCAAGCAGTTGCATACTCCAAATTGCGTGTTGGTGCTTTTCTCCAAGCACCTCTTGTCGAAGATTTAATGCCTTTGTACATATTCTTTCAGCTTCGTCATATCGGCCTTGCTCAAAATATGTTCCTGCAAGACTTGCCAAACTCCAGATTGTACCTGGGTGCATCTCTCCAAGCGTCTCTCGCCGGAGATCCAACACCCTCAAGTCAAGTGGCTCCTTCTCTCTCCATCGCCCTCGATCGTACAGAAACCCTGATACTTTGTCGAGTAATTTTACTGTTTCAACCTTCTTGCCGCTCACCTCTGCCCATTCTCCCACTCGTATAGCATGAGCCATATACTTGTCGCATGTTGCCCACGATGTTTTCTCTGTTATTGGAAACATATCATCCACTATCTGCAGAGTCATACTCGCGTAGTATGCCTCTCCAGTCTCCGTGTTGTCTTGCCCAGTTGTTGTAATCATGCCTTGGGCCATCTCCATCCGCCCTTGGGTACACAACCCATATCGAACTGCTTCTTGTACGAGTTTATGCATCTCATAGCTCTGTAAACCTCCCTCCTCTCGACGCATATCAAGAAATGAAAACTCCACTAGCCGTGTAATGGCCTGCTTAACTTCGGTGTCAGAAATCTGCTTGGCTTTGCCCTTGTCGCCAACATCGTACTGGCTGGCTGCCATGATCAGCTCATAGGGTATATCTTGGTTGTCCACGTATGCAATTATGTGGAGAAGGCGATACGATAACTCGCTTTCCTCTCGAATTCGCCTTGTCGAGATCTTCCACGTCTCAAGCACACTATTTGACACCTCCGGTCGCCTATGCCGATCAAAATCATTCGTCTTGAGAAGATCCCATCGGCTTGAGCCTTGCATCAGGAGTTCAAGGTATTCTTTAATCGTCATCGATGTTCGCCGTAGGTATGCTCCAGCCTGCGAGACTGCCAATGGAAGTCGCTGTAGCTCTTCTAGAAGCCGATCGATTTCTGTGTCTGCCACAGCTGACGCATCGCCGCTAGCTGCTACAAGAAGACTTGTCGCTTCATCTCTTGTCATGGGGGGAACCATAATGCCTCGAGTCGAGCCGACAAGTGTGCCTTCGATTTTCTTATCACGGCTTGTCCAGAGTACCGTCCCGTGTGACCCTTGAGGGATGTACTTGTACAGACTTTCATTCGTCCGATTCGAATCAACCACTCCAAACAACTTTAGATCATCGGCATTGTCCAAGATGATAACCCATTGTGGCTGTGCTTCGATGCTACTGCGCACCGCGTCAAGTAGATCTGATCCATCGAGCGTCTCACTGACTCCGAGCTTCTTGCCAATTGTCTTGTAATCAGTTGTAAAAGTCGCTTCGCTGTCGGCATGCACCCAGAAGACGCAATATTCACTGCCGTTGCACCGTTGATACGCGTAATGAAGTGCAAGCTGCGTTTTGCTATTGGCATTGATTAGTTCCTCGACTCTTGCTAACAAGACAGAATAATCGGCGAAGAGAGCATACCCCGAGCCTCCTAGGCCCCAAAGCGCGGCGCTATAGAAGCCTGGCGTTTGTGGCAATAGCTCGTCTAGCTTATTGATAAGGTCCGGACGAGAGACTAAATCTTCGTTGCGCGGATATGGAATGGCACAGACAGCTTTGACTTCCGCACGGGCCTGTTTGTGGGGTATGTGGAGATGGACATCGCCTTGGTAGATGTTGGTGTTGTCGCCAAAGTGACTATTGCTTATATAGCGCCGCTCGTGCCCTGAAGCCGCCATCGTCAAGTTGGAAAGTCATAGAGTCACTCAAAGTCATAAAGTCACTCAGTTTGAAGCTTGAGAAGAGGAACTTGGCTATACCTACATATACCATCACGAAAAGAGGGGTTGGGTCCAGAAAACGGCCAGCATGTAAGAAAGACCTGATTGTTGTACTACCAACACAACTCCGAGAGGGAACCTACATGGCAACAGGGTGAAAGAAAACACCGCCGGTCTGCTACTATAATTTGTATGTGATAGGCGGCGGTGATTTTTTAACCCCCTTGCCAAGGTAGGTATCTGCCTAGTAACAGATGGGCGGCTAAAGGGACCATTTACAAAGACCCACAAGCGCCGCCAAAGTCAAGGATCATGCATATATTAATCACTATAGACAACATGAAACAGTTTGCTATTGCTCATATCAAATTTGGTTTATTCTCATAGCCATATCCTGCTCAAGTAGGTGGTTTATTCATCACATTATACAAGAGCAGGGAAGATTGTCGTTAGATCTTGGCTGCGTACATTACATTTTCATGATAGTGACAGGTGCTGGAGCCTAGGATAAAGTTCTGTGTTTTACTACGAAGCACATCTAGGACTGCCTACCTTAGATATGCGGATAGCCACAAAAGAAAAAGTAACAAAGGTTTGCGGTAACACTTCTACATTTGTAATAAATGCTATTCTTAAGTAAGGTCACTTATCGTAGTAACTCTTGGCTATGTACTAGGGAGCTAATAATAGCAGATAAAGCGTGAATGGGCCTGGTTTACTCGCCTCAATAGGCATAACATGATGAGTTATTTGTTTGTACATCTACACTATTCATTTGTTTTCTATTCGCTCTCCCTTTCAATCTCTCCCCGCCTGGCATGTCAAGCCCCCTTACTCGTCGAGCTTCACGTAGTTGGCAGGGAAAAGACCCGAATGGCCGCCGTAGTGGCCGAACCACCAGTCCTCATCGGGGAACTCCAAGCCTGTGACTGTGGCATCCTCAGGGAAACTCAGTTCTGCCACAAAAGTTAGCAATCCGTCCGTGACATCATTTACTCGGACCTTCTCGGGGGCTTACCGTTATCTTCTGCAGCCTCGTAATCATACAGCGCAGTGGCTGTTGGACCCGCGGCCGCGGCCGCGGCTGGCGCTGCTGGCGGAGCTGCTGGTGCTGGAGCCGGCACTGCGGCAACGGGGGCCGCCGGGGGAGCTGGCGCAGCGTCTTCGCCCTCCACAATCTCTACGTAGTTGCTGGGGAACAAGCCGCTCTCCCCCCTTGCGTTGGTTCCCATCCACCAATCCTCGTCGACCATGTCGATGTTGGTTACGTACTCGCCCTCGACCAAGTCAATCTCGTTGTCCTCAGCCTTCTCGTAGTCATATTGCACAAGCGCGCGCTTTCCACCCTGCTGGTCCTGGCTGTCAGCCACATGAGGCGCGTGCTCAAACGTCTGCTCGGCTACTGCGCTGGCCGCTGCTCGTGCGACATGGCCAGCCTCCTGCTCGTCTTGAAGCTCCTCTTCTCTGGGAACGGGAATGTCTTCCACAGGCAGAGGAGGAGGTGCTCGTTCCTCTGGCCGCTCAATGGCGGGCTCGCGAGCAACGGGTGCGGCGACACGAATTGGCGATGGCGAGCGTCCCGTCTCCTCCTCCAGGGTTTGATACGCTGAAGGATCTTCCTGCTCCTCTTCCTCTTCATCCGCAGGCGCAGGTCGACTGGGAAGACCAGGAAGAGCGAAACCTCCAGTAGGCCTGGAGTTGTCCGGAACAGGGGGAGGAGCCTGATACTCTTCCTCGGCCGCTCGTGAAGTTGGGGGAATGCCAGCTCCGATGGGAGTCGTGTTCTTGAACCGATCTCTCAGGGCAGACACGCCACTAGGAGCTGAGCTCTCTTCCTCACCGGCCTCTCTGGCTTCTTGCTGCTCTTCCTCGGGAGCAGCACGCGCGGCAGCTCCAATCTGTACTGGTGCCCAAGACTTGCCCGTGTAGCCGCTCTTCCAGGAAGAGGAGCCTCCGGTAGTCTGCTGAGCGACTGGCACTGGAGAAGCCGCGGCGGGGATGCTTCCAATGCTTCCGCCTTCTCTGGCCTTCTTCTCAGCCCAGATCTGGGCCGGAGTCTTGCCGCCTTGGTCTGCGAATGTCCGGCTAGCAGCTCCAACTGGGGCAGCGGCAGGAGCAGCCGGGCCGCCGAATCCTAGCCCTCCCGGAGTTGGGGCCTTGGTGCCGCTAAAAGCAGAGGCTCCGGACCATTTCTTGGCGACAGTAGGCTTAGGCAGTGAAGTCAGCCGTCCTGCGCTTGGCTGCGAGAAGGCAGCAGTTCGATCAGAGAAGGCCTGAGGTGCTGGCTCTTCTTCTTCCGCTGGTGCTGCTGCTGCAGCAGGCTTTTGTGCTTTGGCTCTAATCGCAGCAATGTCGACTTTGCCAACTGGCTCATATGCTCCTTTGACAGGCGTGGGTCTGTCATCTCCGGTCCTCTGAGCCTGTGCTCTGATGGCCGCAATGTCGACCTTGCCTACGGGCTGATAACCGCCTCCAATAACATCGGAGGGAGTATCCTGTCGAGGTGCGCCGGCGAAGCGCGATGGCTCTTGTTTCTGGTTTGTAAGCTCTGCAATATTCACCTTGGTAGGCTGATAAGCAGGCGCGACCTTTTCGATCTGGGTTCGAGTTACGGGAGGAGCGTCAGCTCCCCAGCCATCCGCATCGACAGAGGAATCTTTCTTGGATCGAGCGGCAATAAGAGGGTCAAGAGGGCGACCAGCAGATGATGAAGGGGTGAAGACTGGCTTGGCCTTGACAGGCGGGGGGGCTGATCCAAAAGCTCCTGCGGATGATCCGGCAGAGTACTTGGCACCAGACGCATCGGCAACCTTGCGCATGATGGACTCAGGCTCGAGGTCGCTGTCGGAGCGAGCGGTAATCTGGACATGGTATCCGTGAAGAATCTTGGAGACAGCAGCCAAGTGGCTTGTGAAGTAGCCCTTTGTGCGTTCGGGGACACCTCCTCCGCACCAGCCGATGAGAATAAACTTGGGAAGGCCCGAATTGGGGTCCTTGACCTTGACAAAGGCGAATTGGATTCGGCCCTCGTTGAAGTCTTCAATCAGCTCGGTGAGGTCGCCATCTAGACTACTGCGTTAGTATGTTTATTCCCAGAGATCAATCATCAAACATCAGCTCTCGTCAATGGCTCGCGTACCGCCGGTGCTCTGGACTTTGAGAATGCTCTCCTTGGATCCGCTGTCCTGGAAGGCGTTGGCCAGGGGAGCTTGGACAGAGAAGAGCGCCCACTGGGCATATGTCGGAGAGCCGGAAGCCGGTGCTTCTCCGCCTACAACAGCATTGTAGCTGCTCTTTATGGAGGGGCCGTTTATGGAAAGGTTGAGAGACGCCATCGCGAGGCTGGTATCGAGGGCGTAGTGATAGACGGAGAGAAGGGGGTCGTCGTCAAGAGTGGTTGGAGGGGAATTGCGTCGTCCCAAGAGCTCCGCTGGCTAGCGACGCCGGTTAGCATGCAACTCAGGGGAGGCTAAGAGGCGTTCCGGCTAAGGTGGAGGTGGCTCTCACACAATGGCCGAGTTGTTTGCAGCAGCTCCCCAATAAATAGCACAGCGATGGACGAGCGAGGCTTCGCTTCGGTACAGAAAGATCGGGCGCAAAGGGGGCCGGAGATTTCGTGGCGGACTCAGGAGCCAAGCTGGCAGGCAAGCTGATGGATGCTCTGGCGGGACGTACGTCGACGCTGCGTGTCGCTGAGGCGGGGACGAATAAGCCCGTCTGCTTAGAGGCATAGCCGCGGCGGATTTGCAGGCGACAGCTGCGGCGCTGGCGGTGGTTTGCAGCTATCGGGTCGGGAGCAGCTGGGGGGGAGCTCAAATGACGCAAATGCCCCTCTTCGCCGCCGCCTGCACCGCCGCCTTTCAGCTCTCTAGCGCTGTCACTGCGTGGCAGGTTAATTTTGGTGCCTGAGAATACGCAACTGCCTAAGGACCGAGGGCTTGTTTAAGAGGAAGCCTGGCGCAATGGGCGTCATCAGAGATTAGAGTAAATATTATGCTTGTAGGTGATTTGGAAACTCTGCTTCGCCGATTGTGGAAATAAGATTATCTCATTTGTTGTTTTACCGAGGCGAAGGCATCCAAACTCGCTGATGCAATTAGGCCTCTACCCAAGTACCACCCCAATCTGCCGACATGACGCTATATTTCGTACAAGTAGTTGCTGTGATGATGATTATTCTTCGTTCTTGCTGAGCTCTATACATGTATACACCACATGCATCATTGCAGCGTTTACTGCAATGCCTGGAATAGTCTTGTTAGCGCCAGGCCTATGCAAGGGGAGCATAAACACTTGTGCTGCAAGCAGAACCTGTGCCTTGCCGCCCTATCGGAGCCTCGGGCTCTTGCTTGGCCCACCTCCCTGAACGTTGGAATCAAGCTGTTACAAACATGAATACTAGAAGCGCAATAGGTAGGCATTAGTGGTTTCAGCTGAAGAAGCAGTATTTGCACTTTTGGATAGCCTGGAGACTTTGGGCTGCTGCTGAGCCACTTCTTACGACAACAGCCTATTAATAGAGACTCTCGCTCCGGGTGCGAACGGTTGCGCAACCTGGGGCTAGTAGTGGATCGTGGCCAATCGGGTGGATTCCCCAGAGATGGGAGAGGCATTCCATCCGATTTCTTCTTGCGACTTCATCCATATTCTCCGTATGGCATCTTAGGTCATTAGAGGAAAAATCAGAAGAAGAGTGTCCGAATCAAGGCTACTGATTTTCCTAGCAACGATTAGATACTTATATATTAGGTAGGCGTCGCTCCCTCCTCTGCCTGTTGCGATGAGAACTTGAGCTCAAAAGCACACCATTGAGTAGCAGCGCCTTGGGCACTACAGTTGGCATATACGAGCACTGGCAAAGATACAACTGCTTCTTTTTTTCCCGTCGGGGAGCCTCATTTATCTTGCAAGCCATATCCTTTGAATTCCACTTCTTCCTCTGTTTAGAGTACATGTCGGGACATTGAACTTGGCATGAGAGCGGCACCGGGTCCAAGAAATGTACAACGAAATAGTAGGAGCGCACAACACGCTTCTCTTATCATCTACATTTCCCTAAATGGGCAGTTGATGAAGTAATAAAAACTTTTGAAAAAGTTACCTATCATCACAATGCCATTTACAGAGAAAATTCTCTTATGTAAGGCAGCTCGTGTGCCTATCAGATGCTGCACCGGGTATACACCGGGGTACAAGTATCAACGGCGCTGATTTCAAATTGCAAATGCGCGCGATGGCCATTTACACTTGCGCCATCATTCTACCCCGCTAAAAATCCAACCTTGATATTCCGATCACAGCGCCGATTCTCGCCCTTATACCCAAATCACCGCCCATACGCGAAAATACAAATCATCCGCCGTCTTACAGTCGACATTTCGACTGATCAGCAAAAATGTCGACGATAACCGAGATCGAGACCGACGCACAGTGGCAGCAGGTGCTCAGCTCTGCCCCTCCCTCAACGCTCCTCATCGCCTCTTTCCACGCTCCCTGGGCGGCGCCATGTGCTCAGATGGCGACTGTTCTGTCGACACTTGCGTCCGAATATCCCGTTACCGAGCCTCCCAGTACGAAGTGGGTGTCCATCAATGCCGAAGAACTCAGTGATATCAGCGAGACCTACGACGTGACGGCAGTTCCCTTCCTGGTTCTGCTACGAAACGGTGAGGTTGTCGAGACCGTCAGTGGCAGCAGCGCCGTCAAGGTACGAACAGCCATCGAGAAGCACGCAAAGAAGGACTCGGCCGCGGCAAAGGATGCCGGCGCAACCAATGGTGTTTCAAAGCCTGCAGAGGTCGCTGAGGTTGACCCGGCCAAGGCAAAGGAGGAGCTGTTCAAACGCCTCGGCGACCTGGTCAAGGCTGCTCCTGTCATGCTCTTCATGAAGGGCACTCCTAGCGCTCCTCAGTGTGGCTTCTCCCGACAGTTGGTTGGCATCTTGCGCGACAACTCTGTTAAATATGGATTTTTCAACATCCTCGCCGACGACGACGTCAGACAGGGCCTCAAGGAATATGCCGAGTGGCCAACTTTCCCACAGCTGTGGATCGATGGCGAGCTTGTAGGCGGCTTGGATATTGTACGTCGCTTTGATATAGATACATGAAGATGATGGAATGTGCACTAACATTATCAATAGGTCAAGGAAGAACTCAGTAGCGATACCGACTTTTTCAAGCCATACAGCGTCGCTGTCGAAGCTACGTCATAAAGGACAAAAAAAAAAAAAAAAAAAAAAAGGGTGCAGGCAACACCTTCTCGTCGAATTTCTGTCTCTGGCACCTGGCGTACAAGCTTCTCGTCTGCGATCAATTTGGAGGAAATCGAAGCCAACCGATCACGGAATAATGACACAGCGATAATTACGACAATCCGACTTCTGAATTGCAGCAGGATATGTGCGAGGCCGTATCAGAACGAGAGAGCAAGAGCAAATTCAGCCTTTTGCATGTTTGAAAGTCATACAAGCGAGATTGGGATTCAGAAGTTATTGTGGTTGCTGAGGGTTCTATAAGCCGGAATTATATGCGTGCGCGTCGAAGAGAAGGGGGGTAATTTACCTGGGGTTGACTGCATATATCGAGTTCGATTATTGCTGAGAAAAAAAGGGGGCAGAGGAGGATACAAAATTGCAAGGTAGCCTTGAATATCTATGAATAAAGTAAACATAAAAATACAAATAGCATCTGAACAAAGTGAATGGCGGTTTTGAGGACTACCTGGTAGTGCGAGTGTCTGTCACAGGCCTTGTATTGTGACCATTTTGTTGATATTGGTACAACTCTCCAAGACCTCATGCAGAAAGAAGATATAAGTGTAACATCTTGATAGGGATAACAGCGGCGTATCGAACTGCTCCCATTGCCTGCACCACATCTCGCATTAACGTCATGTGTTGATGGCTAACCAACTCGGTAGCAAGAGCTGTAAACATTTAAATAGGTTTTCGGCTTTCAAATAACAGTTGTGAACTCCGTAATGCACCAGTTCTCGATCAGCTGTTTCTGCAACCCCAGCATGAAACCAGGATCGGTCCGTCTGCACGCATCAGTCCGAAGCCCAGTTCTCTCGGTATCAAGTGCCGCTAGCACACGCAATCTGCAACCAAGGAGACAGATGACCGCCTGCTGGACCGCACGTATCAAATCCAGCGTAGCACTTTGAACGGAGCCCTCACGGCCGCAGACTCCGCTCAACACCATCAGATTAATGGGATAAGGGGGCAATCGCAGGCTCGTTCGTTGCTAATTGCCCGCTAACGCTTTGCTGGGTGCGACGCTAGCAAAGGCCGCTAAAATTCCACAGCGCGCAGGGTGAGTCACAGAGTTGCAGGAACGCAAGCGTCAATACGTAAACTGGCTGGAGCCTTGCCTCGACCTGGGCTCGTAGACGAAGCCTGTGGCGCGGCTTAAGTCCGGCCAGGGCTCATCTCGCTGGAATATCCGCCCTTCAATACGCTCGTCTGCTCCAATGGAGCGCCCATATGTAGTCTCTCGTATATGGAATCCGGGCTTCACCAGCCCTCCGTGGCGGTACAGGCAGAGATTCCCTGCGGCAGTAGGGCTCAGTGCTAGCCGAAACTGTCATAAGACGGACGAGGAAGAGGACGCTGGCGCCATGGATCAATAACCGGGCCGCCGCTGAAGGTTCCCCCCCGAACGGATCCGTCAGTTCAATGTTGCTGGAAATGCTGCCACATGCCGCACTAACAGAGGGTACTTGGCAAAAGCAGCTGACAAAGCTGGGATTTCATTTTGAGATGAGCTCCCTCCCGCTGGGCGTATCGAAAGCTGCACCTACGGAGTACCTGTAGTTGCGATATCAAGATACGCTCGGTTGAGTTCAGGCCTATACCTCGTAGCAAGTCACTAGAACAACAACAATGTCTCATAGACGCCGCATCTAATGTCATATAAGCAATTACACCTTTTCCTTACCCATTCAAATGCCATCAGCCTGCAACAACGTGAGAACTCAGCTTATTGCATCTCTGCTGCCATTGGGTGCCCTTAATATGTGGGCCGAGCAGCTGCCGCAGGGCTCCACAAGAGAGAGTTGGCGAGTACCGCTTGATAGCATCACGCAAAGATTAGTCTCGACACCCCACCACCGCGATCCTCGGGGCTATCCTTTATTATAATTTCGAGGTACCAGACGCTTCTCTTCTTTCTAAACATCTTTTCCTTCAGACTCCATCGCTCCATCGTTTTCCTCTGCTACAAGTCATCTCCGATGCCGCAAACTCTCGTCAAACCAGCTCGTCCTTAACAACTCGACGCCTTCTGTCTGTGCTCCATCTCGCACGCTACATACACACGTTTCGGGCGCCCCTCTCCGCCTCCCACGCAATTCATTGTTATCCAGCCAAAGCCACCAGCTCAAATCCGCTGCCCGCTCGTCGTGAACTCCCAGCGACGCCCAGCAGCAATCGTCCAATTCCGCGCCCGAAATCAGGTGACCGTTGCTGAGAACTCCGTTGTCTTTACAAATCAGATCTCAAGGCACCACCTCATTTATTTCCGGCTCATGCTGCGCTTCTCTCCCGGCTGTCGGCAGATCGTCTAAACGTCCAACCCTCACTGCCGAGTCGCACCCACCGTCGCGGTATCTTATTCATCTTGGCCTGGCTTCAAGCAATTGACAGGCTGCCTCCGTTTGCTCTCGCCAACATCTTCAGAGGTCTAATATATGCGCCGCATCATTCATAACCGGAAAGCCGCTTGTGAGGCCGGCTGAAGATCAAAGATTATTTCGGCGCGATCCTTAAGTCCGAATCGCCTCATCAGTCGACGACGTTTCGCAGATACGAAAACAACCAAACTTTCCCCTCTTTCGCAATGACGCCCACTCCGCCTTCGACCAACTCCTCTACTGGGGGTCGCTCCCCTGAGGAGCAGTTTCGGGTTGTGAGGAAAAGAAATCGTGTGCCTCTGAGCTGCTATCCGTGCAGGACAAGAAAGTACGTCTTAATCTCCGGGCTGTCCGTAGACGAGAGTGTAGGCGTGCTAACCTGTTATGTAGATTGTGAGTTTCTGGCCATTTGATCTTGCATAGCAAGGGCGACAACCAGCGGCATCCATTCATTCATTGACTAGCTAACACGGCATAGGAAATGCGATCGGAGCCACCCGTGCAGCAACTGCACCAAGCGGGAGGGCAACGATACGACATCATGTTCTTATGCGGCTCCAGTAACTCGCAAGAAGAGCCAGAACCAGGCCGACGCCACTCCCGATGACATGCAGAACAGGATCGACCGGTTAGAGGGCCTTGTCTTGTCTTTGATGCATGGCGGGGCTAATATAGACCCTGCTACAGCCACCGCGGCCGGCCGCGCTGCTTCTACGTCGCAGTCATTGACTGACAGCAGCTCTTCGGCCAAAGCCGGCCGTGATGAGGCTGTAACAATGGTCGAGGATGATAGCGATGCGGAAGAGAGCCTCGTAGCTTCACTCGGTGTTTTAAAGGTCGACTCTGACAAGGGCAAGTCGATGTATATTGGCCAAGAGCATTGGCATACAATATTGTCCGACATCACCGAGGTGAAAAACTACTTCATGTTCCACAAAAAGGAGCTGGAGACGAGTTATGAGCGCGTCAGGAATTCAAAACCTGTAGCTGCGCGGGAAGGGCCGACATTGTTACTTGGTGCCCTGCCAGCGTCTGAGATTGAACTCCGCGCGGAGCTGCCCCCAAAGTCAAGTATCCTGACTTTGTGCAGCCGCTATTTCAATTCCATGGACAACGCTGTTTGCATAATACACGGGCCGACCTTTTTCAAACAGTTGAAAAAGCATTGGGAGGACCCGTCCAAAACACCCATCATGTGGCTGGGCCTTTTGTATTCCGTGCTTACTCTCGCGATGCTGAGCTACCACAAGGTTGGAGATGAGCCTCCTGAGTGGAGGGGTCGAACATTGGAATTGGCGTCTGAATATCGGCTACGAACTGTCCAATGTCTGATCAAGGCAGACTACACAAAACCAGTCGAGTACACGGTTGAAGCCATGCTTCTATACGTTTTTGGAGAATACTCGTCTCGGTGGGATGCTGATCTTGGCCTCTGGTTGATTGTTTCCGTCATCACGAGGATAGCCTTCCGTATGGGATACCATCGCGATGCGAAATGGTTTCCCAACATTACCCCTTTTCAAGCGGTAAGTGAAGAGCGACATTTCCAATATCGCGTTGCAATAAACAACAACAGGGCCAAGAGTAGAACTAACACAAGATGATGCAGGAAATGAGACGAAGAGCGTGGGCGCTAGTCCGAATGTCAGATGTCGTATTTTCACATCAGGTGTCATTGCCTAACATGATCTATGAGCATGACTGCGATACCCAGCTTCCGAATAATCTTTTTGACGATGAATTTCACCCTGATATCAAGGAATTACCCCCATCTCGCCCTGCTTCAGAACCGACGCCGATATCATACATGATTGCCAAGGTGAGGCTCTGCAACGAGCTGGGCAATATCTTGCAGGCAACAAATCTAGTGGGGAGACCGGTCTCGTACGATGAAATTATCCGATTTGACGCAAAGCTTCGCCAGGTGATGCAGGAGCTTCCTCCACATCTCAGACTTGGCTCCTTGGATACATCCCAAGATCCTGTGACCTTAATCATCGCCAGATACAACATTGACATATTGTACCAAAAAATGCTTTGCCTACTGCATCGGAAATATCTTTCCAAGGCTCGGCATAACTCGAGATATGCGTTTTCACGTCGAAGTGCAATCGAGGCCTCGATGCAAGCAATGGACCATCTAGCCAAACTACATCGCGAGTCTCAAGGAAACGGGCGGCTACGTTCCGTTTCATGGTACATCAAATCCATTGCAACAAAGGAATTTACGCTGCCGGCCATGCTCCTTGTTCTAGACCTTCACTATGATAACATGGCAGCACGATCATCTGCTCCTGCAGATGAGAGCAATTACAGATACACCGAGGAGCAGCGAAGCAAAATGGTTGGCACTCTCGAGACCGCCAAGGGCATATGGGCAAATCTTGCCAACACTTCGATGGAAGCATTCAAGGCCTCCAAAGTTATCGAAATCATGTTGGAAAAGATTAAATCGCCCTCTGGAGAAGCTACGGACCCCAACAGCGACTCATCTATATCCGACTCTCTATCTGCTTCCATTGTAGGCACAGCAATGGACCACACACCTTCGTCCTTGGGTCTTGGTACTCCTCTCGGCATGCCTGGCTTTGGTGGCCAGGATCCCTTTACACAAAGCTCCGCCTTCATGGGTATGGATTTTGGTGTCCGAGCTGGAAATGCAGCCGAATTTCCTCAATTTGATGGCCTCAACGCCGGTGGCCCTGCCTCTCCGCTCTCCATGTTTACCAATTTGGGTGGTGCAGGCGGAGCGGGCGACCTGGCGTCCAACTTTGACTGGGTAAGGCTACAATTACCATCTTTGTCCCCCTCTTTTTTTTTTTTTTACACATTTGATCCAGATGTTTGCTAACATCATCTTCTGCGATAGGGGGCATTTGAAAATTATACACAAATGACGACTTGGGGAGCTGATCAGAGTTTCCAGATCTACGGCTCTGGGGACCAGTCCTCTCCAGAACAGGGGCTTGGTGATGGTTCGATGAACGGACAGCAGTAAATCTATTTGTATATTTTGAACAATCTTGCGTGTAAGATAGCTCACCTTCGTTATCAATTGTACTCGGATTTTTTTGGGATATTTGGATAAGGAATGCAACGCTTCTATACAGGGATTTGTTTGTAGCTACTCTATCTATGCAAAATCTACCCTTCTCTCCATATCTCTCACTGTAGTCTCTCATTATAATGACATGCTGCTCGTAGAATGATGGCGTGACGTCATGGCCGCAATTTCGGGAGCAGTGCCGCTGCTCTCTGGAGATTTGCGCCAAGGATCGCTTAGTCATATCTAATCGATAAAAAGCATCAATTCAGATGCCGGCTTCCACTCTCCACCAATGCCTGCACCCCTGTTTTACAGGCTGACGTGACCTTGTCACTGCTGCAACACACAAAAAAAAAGCATTGAATGTTTCTTGGGAGCAGATTCCTCTTTCCATGCTTTTTCTCCCAAACCTTCTCTGCAGCTGCAGCCAGAGCTTCTCCCTGATGATCCTCCTACGTGCCTGCCCTCGTGCACCAGGAATCTTCATAAGGACTCCCAGCAGGGGCTAAGCCTGGATATTGTTCCATTCTAACACCTCAGGCGTCTTTGTCTGTGACGCCGCAGTCTTGTTTTGTGCATTTTCTCATTTACGCTGGCTCCTTGTTTTCGATGCAACTATGGACGACGAGCAGCAAGAGCATGTAGTGGATGCGAGTCTGCTACTTCCACGGGGTGCTGGAGGTGTTCTGCAAATCCCGAGTGGAAACTCTTCGATCTCGCGTCATCAGCTTAGTTCATCGGACAACAGCAGCATCATGGTGTCTCCAAGCAAGGCCGAACGGAAAAGGAAGAGAATGAGCGTCTCCAATTCAACCGGAGATGGACCCCCCAAGAAGATCAAGAACGTCGCTGCTGACCAAGGCCCTCTTGATTTTGGCTCTGTGCCAGCTTCTCGTCGCGATGTGTCGTTGCAACTCCCAGCGGAGGTGTGGCAGCACATCTTCTCCTTCCTGCCGCCGCATACGCTTGGAACCCTGCTGCGGGTCAACAAGTTGTTCAATCAGTATCTCGATCCCGCATCCCCATTTACGCTTTCTGCTCCAGCGTTTCGCGTGCCTTCTATTGTACCTGCGCTTCTCCCAGACGCCATATGGCGGGCGTCAAGGTGTCTCTTTTGGCCAAGGATGCCTACACCCCTCTCGGGGAAATCTGAACTAGACATGTGGCGGTTTGCCTGCTCACGGTCTTGCCAAATATGTGGCCAGATAGATGAGACAAATGTCGCTTGGGATTCCTTGCCATGGCGGCGTGGGCCTGGTAACAACACTGTTTCGCCGATATTTGTTTTCTTCGTCAACTCTTGTGGGAAATGTTTGGCTGAGACAAGCGTCAAAGTGAGTGTAATGCCAAACGAGCTCTGATTACTACCAAGAGGCTGATGCGTATCTGTAGGAAGTTGATGTGCTGTTGTCAACATCCACACCTTCAGTTCTTATTCCCGGACTTCCTATGGCCTTCTTGACTGCTGATCTCAACGTAGTCTATACACAGTCGATAAAAACTACCCAAGTGCCTACTTCTGTTCCGCTAACGAGGATATACTGGCCCACCCAAGTGGAGAGTCTTCGATTAGAATTTGAAGATGTCAAGCGATTTGGTCCTGCAGCAGCTGAAGAATGGATAAAGGGTCTAGAGGCTCGTGGCGCAGACGCTATTCACAAAGCATCACGATGGGAGAAGTGGTATTTGGCTGGAGGAGTCAGCCAGATGCTCATCCGTTGCTCTTCAACTCCGCCACAGCCCACTACCCGTGGCGAGCTCAAAATCGTTGAAGCCACGACTCGCCCAAAGCGACGAGCTCGAGAAATAACAGAACAACTGAAATCCCAGAGACGAGCGGATATAGAACGCCGAGCAAGGCGACTTCAACCTCCTATACCTCTAGATATTCTGGTCGATCTTCCATCTTTCCAGATGTCTCTGGAGAAAGCTGAGCCCCTTCGCGATAAAGAGTGGAACAGTCTAAAACAACAGTTCATATCTCAGTATAAAAAGATGAAAAGAGCAGAGGGGAAAAATGCGTTAGCTGCCAAGGCTTCTGAGAAGCATCAGGCCAACAGTACAGCCAAGAAAGGCACAGAGACTGCGCTTCAAGACGAGCATGATGCTGAAACACTTGTAAAGATTCGCATCTCAGCCCTCGCGGACCAGTTTATCGGCGATCATTTGAGCGAAGGCCAAAGTATTGAGCAGGAAGGTCATGCTCAATTCATCATCGGAGTGATGGCCTATGTTCGCAAACAGTACTATGCGGAGTTTTCGAAAATCGATAGCACTTCTTCGGCGCCAAAGCTAACTTTGGGCGATATGGTGTGGATATTTGATCACAAAGTTAAGCAAATACTTGCAGATACTGATCAGGACCTTTTTTCTTGCAGAAAATGCCTAAATTCCAAAAAACGATTTGGATTCAGCGCTTTTATCCATCACTACCTTTCGAAGCACGCTCTGAAGCATGGCCCGAAGCCTGGGAAGGAAGGGAAGAAGTTGCGTAACCGTTTGAGAATTGATTGGCCCGAGGAGTTTCCATTTGAATCGTCTCCGATTCAGCAAGTGTCTACTGTTGACTCCAAGCCGCTTTCTTCTCAGACTACGGAGGTGGACGATGCATACAAGCCGAGAATCGATGCCATGGCAAAAGCTATAACAAGTGTGTGGAAGATCATGAAATACGTCAAACACATATCCTTCTCGGCCAAACTTCTTGTCTCAATCTACCACGTCGCTAAAGAATTTCAAGAAGATGATCCGGAACTTGTACCACTCGATACATTCGTGGACGTCTTGAATCACTTCAAGTCTTCTCCTAACCTTGCCACCTACCATGGCTTAGCATGCAAGATTTGCATGCTGTCGCAGACGCGAGAGGAAGACGATAAGTGTTTATTCACGCTTCCTGGCTTAGCCAAGCACTTCCATGTCGTCCATGAGAAAGGGGGGGTTCCGCTGACGGATTGGCGTGTCGATTTGATCTGGTTGCCGGACATGCAGATGTTCCAAGACCTACGAACAAAAGTTTGGGAGAGCAAACGCGCTTTTAAACTAACCTCAGAAGCTTTGCCATGGCTATTTGAAAGTGAGGGGGAGACAAGCCAAGGTGGCCCCTGTTCAACCCTGCCAAACGCTCTCACCAAAGGCTTGGAGGCAGCGGATGCAGCTTCTAATCAGATAATCCATCGGCCTGATGAGGGATTACACGGAGATGTACCCAAACTTTTGTCAGCCAGTGTTGTCTACGTCAGATCAGACACAATTCAAGAGCAAGCAAGATATGATACTGTTGTCGCTCGGGCGGCGAGCATTAATGAGAGAATGCCTCAAGTCTACGAAACGTTTGATAGAATAAGAGCACAACGCACGATCACCGAGGGCAGCTCAGTTTGGGGATCGTCTCGCACTAACTCACAGACTTTCAGCCCCAGAGAAGGTGGGCCAGAGCCAGGAAGACATTTGAGCTCTTTCCACCCACATAATGAGTACGACCCTCAAGTGGCAGAAGAGCCAAACGAATATCCATACTATCCGGATATGGAGATTCGAGGAGCGCACAGCCACATAGAAGCTGGAAACGGACTTGATGGCAGCTACTATATTCCCAGTGGCCACCGGCAGCCGATTCCTTCCGCACGTCTCTACCACTATGGTGATTCTGTTTCATCATATGACAGACATGGTAGTGTTGACGCACGACATGTGTCGAACGGCTATTATACTCAACATCCAGCTATGATGCGAGAGTACAGAATTTTTCCAACTGCAGAACGTTTCGATTATACCAATTTAGAACCGCATAGAAGTACTGCCCCACAACGAGCATATGATTCTTATGCCTCACGATATGCATTAGCCAATAGAAGGCCAGGAGTTTGAGATGTATTATAGATAAGGCTGGCAAATGGATTCTTCGCTTTCTTTGTTTTTTGGCGCATCGGAACAGGCATTCTACACATGATACAAGCAAGAGGTTTTGAGCACGGAAATGGAGGGGATATCACAAGAGGAAAAGAGATATCATACAGGTGGTATACATCTCAGCTAGGAACGTTGGTATTCCCAGACTTGCTCATCATATAGATAATCGCATTTAAACAAATACGGTCAAAAGTATATTTCTGGTAATTGGAGACGTGACAACAAAGTCGAGTGGTGTAGTTATAGAATATAAAAGTCGCTTGCAGCCATGGTCGCGGATATTCTTCCCCTCTCTTCCAGTGCCATTGCCATCATGTACAGTTGTTTACATTTCAAAAGGAAAGAAAATGCGCCATCGTACACTTCTCTCCAAGTCCTCTCTCCCTCTTCTCCTTTCTTTGAAAAGAAGGAAAGGCCAAAAAAGGGCGATTTTTGTTTCCCTTCTTTTTTCCCCCCATCCTACCCAGCCTTTTGACCTTCAGTGGAAACCCCGTGACGCCTTCGTTGATCACCCCCTTTTTTTTTCGTCCTCGTAAATCCGCCGCTTTGTTGATTTTGATTTTCTTCTGTTTTTTTTCTACATACAGCCATTTTGTGGCCTTTCTCATCATCTCCCTTCTGTTTCATTACCTATTTTGCAACAATGACAGAAATAAAGTATGCTTGGAGCCGTGTATTGTGAGGGGGGAGAAACATTATAAGCGATAAGAAGGTGAAAAAAAAAAAAACCTGGGAGAATGGTCTCTCCATTTCCCAGCGTGAGTTTTGAATTTCTTTTTTTTTTTCCAATTGTTCTTGTTCTTTCATCTTACTTCTTTCTTACAAAACCTCGCCGATAATCTTGGCCGCCTCGCGGTACGTCTGGAGCAGCTTCTCGCACTTTTCACGCTCCTTCTTGACGCCGTCGTCTTCGTAGAGGAGTTCCTCAAAGAGAGCCTCCTTGTAGAGCTCGCTGACGAGGCGGTTCTGGACGACGTCCTTGCAGTGGTTGACGAGGAGGTGCATGATGGCCTTAGGGACTTGGTCGGCGATGGACTCGCGGACGATGTTGAAGTAGGAAGAGATGAGAGCGCGGATAAGCTCTGTTTCCATGGCCTCGCGCTCAGTCATGGCAGGTTCGTTAGATTCGCCCTGTGAGGAGTCAAGTTAGTCAAGGCAAGGGAGGTGAAGGCTAAAGGAGGTAAAAATTTACCAGATGTGATGCTAGGCCATAGCTACGAGATGACGGGTCATAATCATCCGTAACGGATGGGGGAGCTGTCCGAATTGGCAGCTTCTCTTCACGCCTCAGGCTTTGTGAGAAACTGGGCTCGGATGGGTGGCTGGTGTGTCTGCCGTTGGTGGTGGGAGTGATGGGGGCGCTCATTGGCGTCATGCCATCTTTGCCAAAGAAGTAGTTCAAAAACGTATCGCGGGTGCCGCCAATGCCTTGTCCGTTCATGCCTGGAGATGACGGGCGAATGCCATTCAGGGATGCTCCGAGGCCAACCATGGCATCTTGGTGGACAGCTGGCGACATGCTCCTTGAAGGTTTTGACGTTGCGAGCTTGCGAAGATTGGGCTGCTCTGCCCGCTCAGCGACCGGACTGTCTTCACTGTCCTCATGCGCGTCTGTGCCGTTGGGGCCGCCCACCTCCTTGAGGCGTCGCTTCTCTCGGCGATCACGCTCCTCCAGAATGAACCTCTTGCGCTCCCGCTCCTGTTTAGCGCTGACAACGTTGCCCATTGCTGCCGCGGCGCCCAAGAAGTTGGGATGGTTTGTGTTGATGTACGCACGCTGAATAGAGATGAGCGACTCAACATATTGTGAGGAAGGGCCTAGTCGCTCTCGCAGAAGGTCTGATACAACCTCGATAAGCTTGGCCTGGAGCCTCGGAAATCTGGAAAGTTCTACTGAGCCGCAAGTGTGGCAGATCTTGATGAGTTCTTCGTAAACAAGTTCGACGCAGCGCTGGCTAGGAATCTCTAGAAGCTTGATTTGGGGCTTGACGAGAAGGTCGAAGGCCATTTCGGGCACGAACAGACTGGGTCGAGGACCAGTGGAGTTGCGGATTGCCGTCCTAATATCCAATGCTGACAGATTTGACGTGGGGTCAATGGTATCTAATGAGCTTCCAAAAACAGAGTTGAAGATGTAGTAGATACGGGCACCACCGCAAAGCTCCTTGGTGGAGATTTCGGTGGAAGTACCGTCAATGGAGGAGATGAATGAGGTTGCGAATCTCGTCATTTGCTGCAGAATCAAAGAGCCTCGGTGCTCCTTTCCGCTGAAATGCATGTCGCCGTAACCGGCGAGCTCCTGTTGTGTTTGGCCCATTAAAGTGTTGAGGCGCGCCTTGATGTCGGGCAGACGCTCTCGAATGTGTGCCATAAGAGTCGTGTTAAGCGTCTTGGCCAAGAATTTGGTGCCGCATCGGCTAGAGATGTTACGATAGGCTGGGTGGTGCTTGAAGAATTCGTTTTCAGCTTTCAGAGCATCATCCATGGGCTTGTTGCCTTGGATATCCTGCTGGGAGCGGTTCACCACGCCAATGAACCCGAGCTTCAATGGGTACACTCGGCCGGACAGAATGTCGAGAGCATTGGTGCCGTGGTCCATCAAGTCAAGCTTGGTGAGAACGCCGATGGTCCTCCGGCCGAGAGGATCCACATGCCGGGCAAGCTTCAGAGCCTCCGAGTTGACGAGGTCGACATTGGCCGGTGAGACAGCCAGGACGATACTGTTTGGCTTGGCGATGTACTCGGAGATTAAGTTTCTCGTTTGTTTCTCAATATCACTTGGCTGATCACCAATGGGTACCTATGCGTAATGCCTCCCAGGTTAACCAAAGAGAAGAGCAATGGCAGGCGGGGGAGACTGCAGATGGAAAAAGTATGTACAAGACGAACCTTGGTCAAGCCGGGGAGATCAACCAGCGTCAGGTTGAGGACATGCGGCGAGTAGATTTTCAGGTTAATGGGCTGTCTGTTGATACCCTTGTTGGTACCGGCAACTCGAGACGTCTCATTCTCGATTTCTCGCTTGACATCTATAAAATCGGTGAATCTTCTATTGGGGATGTGGTGGAACTCGGCCCATTCTCCGCGGCGCGCAGCTCCAGGCGAGCGGTAGGGGTCGTTGTAGGACTCGGGGTAGGGCTCGGGGCCAGACTCGTCCTCTATGATGTTGATGAGCTGAAGGATCAGCGGTCGTCGAGTCACGACGCCGCTGCCTCGAGGCAAAAAGTCGCGGCCGACGATGTTCTCGAGGACGGAAGATTTTCCGGCGGACTGGGATCCCACGACGACCTGAGCGGCGGGGCATTAGCAGCAAGCGGGGAGACGAGGATGGGGGAGTTTGGATTTTGCAGCCACGCACAATTTGCGGGAGATCGAGAGAGTCGCTGCCGATGGTGTTGAACACCAGGTCCTGCAGCTTGTTGACCGTGGAGAGCAGATCTTCGCCGAGGGCGGCCATTGCAGCGGCGTCTTGGGAGCCTTGTTCGTTTTTTTTCGCTCTCGTTTCGATATGGATGCGGCGCAGTCAGACGACTTAAGCAGACGAGGCTACCGGGATGATACAGCAGCACTGATGCCTCCAGACAGACGGTACATGCACGCACAGGCAATGCGACGACTTGCGCTGTGCTTTTTTGCTGGCTATCAATTGGAGAGAAGCAAATGGCTGCTCGGGTCTGTTTGGCAGCGAACCAAGGCACTACGTATTGGATTCACGTGTAACGAGGTGGGTCTCGTTAATGGCTTGCCGCAGAGCAGGAGGAACGCCACAGGTACCAGGTACGCCGCGGGCGTATGCAGATCGGCGTCTAGAAGGCAGTACAGAGAACCTCGGACAACGTCTCCCTTCGTCCAAAGCCTTGGTAGATGCCGATAACAAAGATCCATTTGAACAACCCAAGAATTAAGTAGAAGCTCAACTGGAGACAGCGGGCTGTCACACACGATAATGTTAGATTTAACTTTATTTTGGGCTTTTCCCTTTGTTCAGTGGGTAGATCTTTGAAAAAAAAAAACATCAGGCCCTACCCTCGGCGGCAAAAGCGACTGGGGTTTGTTTTCTTTGGGACTTCTTTGGGATAGGGATGTTTATTCTCCCTCTTTCTCTACACATCAGGGCATGCTAACTACTAACTAAGTACTTGGTGAAAGTGTTTTGCTGAAGCTTAGCATTCTGGGCGAGCGTTTCAGGGCATTGATCAGCTGCCAGATATCGTTCAATATCAAGTGTTATGCGTCGAGCCGACATCACGTTGTACAGATGCTACCAGGCGTGGTTCAGGATAAAGTCAGCTCTAGCGTGTTCCACAGAAGGGCTTCTTGGTCGGTCTCCATGGCCAGCATAAAGTGCTGATAGAATGTCGAGCCATGATCCTTGCTTAGCTCTGGCGACGATTCTCGATAAATCCACTGCTAGTGCCTCAGCATCTACAAGTATGTATTGAAGCTCTAGGTTTGGGAGCTGTTCTTGGCGGGCAAGATATCAATCACACTGCAGAAGCCACCGCTCACCTGACGGTGATACTTGTCAAATCGGGCATCACCAAAGAGGATTCGTCGTAGTCCATTGATAGTTGAAAATCCATGACTCAAGGGCGGAAAGCAGGCAGAGAGCGGAGCGCAACATCACGATGCTTTCCGACTTGATGGAGTGACAAGTTCATCCCAGCTATGTAGCTAGCCAACCAGACAGCCGCCGATCCTTGGTCATCTCTGGTTGGGCGCCTGTGGATACAGTTGTCGACAGAACACGACAGCCCTGCAGCTAGCGGTTGAGTTGGCTTGCAGTGTGTCACGACGCGAATGGTCCGTTTGAAGACCCCGTAGGAGCCATGCGAGCACGGGAGGGATGGATTGGCGGCCAGAATCTGCGCAGGCTTCTGCGTCAAGCCTGCATTGCTGTTCCTAGCGCCCGTTGTGCTTTGATTGATTGCTCATGATGCTGCCTGCTTGGCTGATATAGCAGGATAAATGCAGGCAAGTAGAAATACTTGCGCCATAGGTATGCGCGGAAGAGGTCCTCCGAATCACGGCCGTCTTCCCAATATGCAGCTATGCGGCCTGATTCGCCGCCCGAGTCGCTAAGCGGCACATCCAGGCTTAGCTAAGCGAAGCGTGCCGCTGTATCGGGGCCCCGCCCCACACCTTCTACAACCATCATGCGAGACAGCGACGCTTCCAAGTCTCGTCTCGAAAAAAAGACGAGAGGAAAAAGGGACATGCCCCTAGTGCAGCACCTCGAGAAATGAGCACATACGGCAGTCCTGGAGCGCTGCCACAGACGAGGCCAACCCCGTACGTGTTCCCTCGACGCTGATTTGACGTCCAGCTCAGGAGTTGGCTGACCCGCCGTCTCCATAGGCCACAGCGAGGGAGCTTCCCCTTGGACCACGATGGTAAGCCTGCTGTAATTTTCCAGTCTAAATTGCCGCCCTCTCCTGGCTGGCCAGATCGCCGTCAAATATCAAATCAAATCTAACTCTGATAGGCGAGTGCAAGAAGGCCATGACCAGCTACCTGGCCTGCATGAAAAAGGTCCGCGGCGTCAATGAAGACGAGTGCCGCAACCTGGCCAAGGCGTATCTGTCGTGCAGAATGGACAGGTAAAGAAACTGAAAAAAAGCAAGACGCAGCGTGTGAGACAAGATGCGGGCTAACATGTCGGCGAAACTAAGAAACCTGATGTTGCGGGACGACTTCAAGAATCTCGGCTACCAAGAGCCTGGGCCGCCGGCAAAGGCCCCAGAGCCAGAAAAGGGCGTCAAAGGCGAACTCCGGTGGTAGCAAAATCGAGTGGGCGCCCCCATCGCCGCCAGACAGGCGTCCCCTAGTCGGCACGCAGCCAGCATGGAGCGCAAAGGGGGAGGGAAAGCCATTGGTCGTTCCCATGGTGACATTGCCCAGCCGTATCTGTACATATTCTGGCGGCGATCTGGAACTTTCCACGCCAGCTGTATTATAGCCCCCCCTGCTAGCAAATCTCTTCTCTCCCTTTATCGAGCCCTGTGCCGTATTGTCTGGTACCTATTGTGTTGCTGTGATGTGCTGTACCGTGCTATAATGCTGGTGTGTGTGTGCCATGCCAGCTCAGACTCTGGGCGTTGTATCTGAGCTGGATGGGCTAGTGCTACCGTCCTGCCGACTAGCGGTCCAGATTACAGGCACACAGCGCTGCTAGCCAGCGCTACAGGCCTTAGTCTGGGGTTGTCTCGGAACATGCCAAGGGTTGCCCCGTCAACCCCCGCTAAAATCGACCGCTGGCTCGATTCTAGGTGCAAAGTACCGAGCACCTAACGCTTCTTATTTGCATACAAAACGTCACGCCTCGCATGCGACCTCTCTACTTCACCGCCGGCCTCCCAGTGCTGCGACAGCACGTCCATTGCACGCATAAAACTGTCGTAGCATCCCTCTGAGACTAACCTCTTTCTTTTCTCTTCGCTTTATTTTTATTTGTTTCGTGACGATCCCCGAGAACAGGAGAAGAAAGAGCAGGGCAAAATGAGGCAATCTGGCGAGGTCAGGTCGAGTAGGGGGACACCGCCGTCGCCCTCCTACATGTCCAAAGACGAATTCGGTACGGCATATGCGGCAGATTGACCAATGGTTCGGGCTGGTCGCTAATCTACACTTGTCATGAACAGCAAGCTACCTCGCAAACCTTCGAAGCAAGCCCGTCGGAAGGCCCAGCGGCGCCCGGCCTCCGCCTCCTAGTACTCGACCGCAGATAAACCGGAACAGCATGAGCCAGATCAGCTACGATGCATCTACAACATCGCCAGACACAGCTGCTCAACAGGCTAGCCATCAACGATCGCGGTCGCACACGCCCAGCCTCATTGGAGGGAGCACGGCTTCAACTCGCATTTCAATGATTAGTACTAAAAGCCGTGATTATTACCCTACCACTCCGACGCCGCCTCCCTTGAAGCCAGATACAGTCGTGCCTACCGCTAGCTACATGGAACGAGGCCAGCGTTGGATGGAAAGAGAAGAAGCTTCGTCACTACGAGATGCCATGGAAGAAATGGACTTTCGGGAGAGCAGAAAGAGTACCCCTGCCCCTGATGCTGCCATCGAAGACGATGAGACTCGCCTCTACAACGCTGCTCTCAACGAGGCTGCTGAGCTCGTGTGGGAGCACCAGCACGGCGTCAAGCCTCGGCCCCCTGACGGTGCGTACCTGTATCGACCACACCTTAGAAAGGACAGCTACGCACATGCTCGGGCAGCGACCGTGACAGGGGGTGGGGCAACTGGTGCGAACAATTCAAATAGGAACTCGTATTCCGAAGTGCACTCGCCATCATCGACCTCATCCGAAGGAGACAACAGCCCTAAAAGAAACGATTCTCCCGAAGAGGCAGCCCGATCCGAAGAGTCTCCGACCAAATCAAAGTCGTACGGGAGCGTCGGGGGGCGTTTCACGGGCGGCCGGCGTAGCAGCATGAAAAGGAACATCAGTGGAGAAGTTGAGCGGCCCTTCTCTGGTGATCAGATATGGGAAGAACCCGAAGCCCAGTCGGGCGAGGCGTCTACTCCAACGACGTCTCCTCAAAAGGATTCTCCCGTTTCACTCAAATCCAAGCCTTCGAATGCTGCGAGGCGCAATCCCTTCCAACGCTTCCAAGGAGAGTCCAGCCCGACCAAACGATTGGACAGGGTAGAAATTCACAGGAATCCTCCAACACGATCTCGCAACGCCCAGTATCAGGTCAACGCTCCAGCTGCCGCTACACAACCGCTCCCTGATGCGCAGCGTCTAAATGGAGTCGAGATCCGCGGCCAAGATATCCGCGAAGCTACTAGCATGAGGCTCAAAGACCGCAGCTCTAAACTTCCGGAACCTACCGCAGTCAGCGACAGCCCTGGAAGGCCCATTGTAAGCTTCGATGCTAACTGGAAAGCCCCGGAGGAGTCCTCGTCCACTGATGCCAGCTCAGACCGACCAAACTCGTCGACCCCAGCATCAAACCGCTTCCGGTCCCAGTCACAAGCGCAGCCTCAGTCCACAACCCAAAATCCAACTCGGCCTGTGGATATCCCTAGCATCGTTGTGGCGGAAGACCCTTCGCCGAGGCCAAGAGCGCAAACGAGCGCGAGCGTGCCGTCGATCTCGATAGCGGAACCAGAAGAGACTTCGAAGAGACCAACGCCCACGATCAACATTCCTTCCATTGCGGTGGACGAAGCGCCAGAACCCCGCAAGGTTCCCAGCATTTCGACGCCAAAGGATTCGCCCGTGAGAGGCTCGCGCCCTCTTCCAACACCAGGAAGTCGTGGACCGCGGGGTCACTGGTCCCCAGCTCCAGCTCCAGGCGCCGCTGCAGCTGCAGCTGCCGCCGGCGGCCGAACAGGGACTCTCTGCAATCAGTGTGAGCGCCCCATTGAAGGGAAATTTGTGGCATTGGCTGGTTCCTCTGAGCGATTCCATCCTCATTGCTTCCGTTGCTACACTTGCAATACTCGTCTTGAGGCCATGGAGATTTCTCCAGAGCCAGACGCATCGCGGGCTGAGCGATTGGAGAGAATTCGGCGTCGCGCGGCGGGGGAGATACTGGATGAGAAGCCTGGCATGACCATGGCGGAAGATGGAGATGCACGCCTCCGCTTCTACTGCCATCTCGACTGGCACGAACTCTTCGCCCCACGCTGCAAGCACTGCAAAACCCCCATCCTCGGGGAGCACATTGTAGCTCTTGGAGCGCATTGGCATTACGGGCACTTCTTCTGTGCCGAGTGTGGCGATCCGTTCGAGCACGGCATGACGCATATCGAAAAGGACGGGTACGCTTGGTGTATCAACTGCCAAACGAAGCGAACCGAACGTCGTGCGCCCAAGTGCAAGATGTGCAAGACGGCTGTGATTGGCCAGTATATCAAGGCACTTGGTGGTGAATGGCATGAGCACTGCTTCCGCTGTGCCGAGTGCAAGGGAGGATTTGATGATGGGCAGATATTCCCCAAAGAGACTGCAACGGGGGCAATTATACTCTGCACCAAATGTAGAGCCAGAGAGCTCAAGTTTTAAAGAAGACGATACGATGATGCCGTTTACGGATTTTGTGTATGCATTTTGACGAGGCGTTTCTATCATGGGGGCGACAATGGGATCGGTTGCATTGGGATATAATGATTGAAATAGGTAAACCTAGCTTATGGCTTGTAATTGCATTTTCATCGCGTATATCATTTCCGTCTCCGCGAAACAGTCAGTTCGCCACTATCGTATGAACGGACGAGCAGGCGTAAAGACCAGCATGTGGCCATGATTGGCCGTCGTAGAAAAGCAAGTTCCCTCTGTGTCTCTGTCTCTCTCTCTCCCCTCTTAATTCTAATGTATTACACAAGTCATGGTAGATAGTATGTGGGATAGAATGTGAACCCAATTACCCAGCTCAGATGCGCGCACAGCGTCTTTCCATTTTCCGTATTCCGCTTCTTCTTTCACTCGTACTCGATATCATCGTCGCCTTGCCCCCCACTCTGTCACGGCGTTGTCATCCCAGCAGGCGTCCTCCAACTTGTTCTTGGTGCACCTCGAGAGTGTCACCGTCTGCCATCTCGAGCTATAAATTCCGAGGAGCAGTACGTTAGTTTCAAATGAACATTTAAAAACACGGATAAAAGTCAAGGATAGCCAGAAGGAGAATTCGTAACAAAGTAATGAAAGAAAGAAAGCATACCGCGTCCGGGGTATCCGTTGGCTGGACTCGTGTGCCATCAAACAGGAACCGCACTGAATTCAGAGACTTGCCCTGGCGCTCGCAAAATGCCGTCATGAGCTTCTCGAGCTTGGTGCTGCGCTTGATCTTGAAGAAGACCTCGTTGTTGTTGTCGGTGACCTTGATGTTGAGGTGCTCGCTGTTGGGAGGAGGGTCCTGTCGGTCGACGGGGGACTGGTTCGCATCGTTTTCAGACATGGCTGTTGCTTTTTTTTTTTCTCTGTGTTTTGTGGCCTTTTTAGAGGAAGTTCTCTTTGTTGAATTTGGGGGTATCGTTAGGGAAAAAAGAAAGAAGTTGGTTTTGTTTGGAAAGGAAAAAAAAGAATTAGGCGCCGCGAAAGAAGGTGATGCGATAGAAGGGCGACGAAGAAGGCGCCCAAAGAGGCTTCTAGCGGAAGAAAGTGGGGAGGGCGGCCTCTGATTGGGCGGCTGAGCGCTGGAAAGTACAGGTACAGTATCCTGCACGGCTGGGCTTTGGTGATTGTGCGCTGCGAACGGTGGGAAGTTTGCAGTGCTGTGAACCAGCCAGGTACATCAGTGCCCTGGCGTCGCGCTGTTTGTGGCCTGCCTGAGTGCAATACGCGCAACCTTGTAGCCAGAACTTTGGGGACAGGTACTGATGACATCAGTGACTGTAATTCTCACTAGGCTTGAAATGCAGGAACAGCGTGTTTAATCCAGCATTTGTATCTTTAATTTACATCAATCGAAGGCCTCTGGTGGCTGGTTCTGCCATTGAAATATTGTTTTGATTCTTTTGGTTTGCAAATTCAGCTCCCTTGCTAAAGTACTTGGTCATGGTTCGTTTTTTGTCGTTTCTCAGCTTTAGCAGCTTTCTCATCTGCTGAGATCTTTCATTTGACAGCTAACCACAGCCTCCAATGCTATAGCCATCTCCCAAAGACGACGTTGAAGCGCGTCCACCGTGTCATCCACGAGCAGTAAGTGCATAATATCGATACATACCATCTCTGTGAGACTTCAAACTGACACGAGGGGATTTACGTGAATTTCAGTGCGCCATCCAGGGTAGGTTGTCATTTCGGAACCAGAGCAAGCCCAGTACACGAATCGCGAGGACATTCAAGCTGAGATAGCCACAGATTGCCTTACCAAGAACAATTACAACGAGGCTCGTTGTCAAAATGCCGTCAAGGCGCTGTATGAATGCTGTGAAGCCTTCTACCAGCGGTATGGCGACGACGCAACGTCTCCCAGCTGCCCACAGCCAAAACTGCTGCGTCTGAAAATTCAGCAGCAGAAAGAGGGCAAATAAAGGCGTACGACGAAACATGAACATTTCACGATTACAGATAATCTATGCGGCCCATTTTAGAGACGCACAGCGTCTTACAGTGTATCTAGATAGGTAGATTGTACATAGAGTACATAAACAGGAGGGAAAAGGGAATGGAGAAATGTACGCTCATCGTATAATATGTCAACCAGTGTAGAGAATTTCAGGCAACTTGATGAGGAGCGAATTTTTCTAGGCGATCGTTGAGCACGCAAGAGGTCCTCATGGGACCTGAACAAGCATCGAGACGTCTTGTTCCGAGACTCTAATACGAATGCCCATGACATTATGATGAGGAAAGGAAAAGAGAAAAAAGAAGAAAAAAAATCGAGACGAAAATTTGCTCTAGTAGTAGTGGGACACCAGGCACAGAGCCCCGCTTTGTTGCATATCGCAGTATGCCATATTCAGTGCTTGGTCGCTGCTGGCAATTTACAGATTACCTAATAGTACAAGCTACTTTCTTCCGCATATGCAAAAGGCCTCTCAGCCGGGTACAGTCTACTGAGCTTAATCGCAGGCTAGAAGGCTGCCCGTGAAAGCTCAAGCGCGCCTTGAAGCAACAAAATATTGAGAGCTGCTGAATTTCTGCGCTGAGCGGCCCACGATCCCGCCAGGCCGCAAATCAAACTTCTCAACCAACGGACAAGACCTCGATCATAGCAGCGACGCCGGCTTCTTTGAGATACCCAATTGCGAGCTCTATTCGTGTTATGCGGCCTAGGCCAACGCCCTGAAAAGTCGGCACCTGGACCCCAGCCAGACTCTACAGCCATCGCCTGGTTGGGACGCTCTGCGCGGCGAGATCCCTCCATCGAGCGGCCCCGGACGTGTCAATTTTCTCCCATCGACACTTTATAGCATCTGATAGGCGCTCGACGTGCGCGGCTCGACCATCGCCATGGAGCAAGGGCTGTTGGACGACCTCAATGTCGGCCCCGAGGTGGAGGAGTTTGCCAACGCCCTTGACAACTGCCTTTCGCCATTCCTCTCGCTGGAAGACAAACGAGCCCGACTTCTCGATCTCCCCCGAAAATACTACGAAAATGCATCCCGACGACTGCAACAGGCGCGGCCGAAGCGAGCTCGCAGCGGCTATGACGATGTAGACATGGATGCTGATGAGATTGAGACGGCAGATGGCCTTTCCGGAGGGGATGATGAGATTAAGCAGCTGGAGAAGGAAGTGCAGACCTGGGATTTGATTCAACGACTATTACCACTACGCTACGCAGCCCTAGATTCTAATACCAACGATCGCCCATCAATAGAAACAGGCTCGACCCAGTCCGATATGCTGCTCGAGTTTCTCCTTGCGGATCCTACAGCCCAGGAGCGTCACGCAGTTCTCCAGTGGCTTCAGAGTAATGCGGCCGCAGGCCCAGACATTGATGATCTGGCACGAGATCTCCTGAAGCAAGCCGACAGGGGAGATATCGTTGCTCATGGCTGGCTCCACACCCGTGCAACTATCAAGCTGCGGAAGAACCTGACGACATGGCATGGGCTACTGGATCACCAGGGCCCCAAAGTCATGGAATCTCACGTTGGCAAAGACGGTGCCCCCTTGATTACGCAGCTGGATCCCGATGCTATTACTCGCCAGGGACGGAAACTCGAACCCGCAGACGAGTACTTTGAGCGCGCTATCTGGCTTGGCTGCTTTGAACACCTTCGCCGTGGCAGCAGCCTGGAGGAGCTGCGTGAGTGGTGCCAAGAGCGCACTGAAATGTGGCGCGCTGTTTCAATGTCTGCCATGCCTCTCTCTGTGGATGACAATGCAGCCCCGGTCGACGACTTGAAACCCGAAGCGCTGGCTCTCTGGAGACGGACGTGCTTTGCCTTGGCTCGTCAGGGAGGGTCGGATGATTACGAGCGTGCGGTATATGGGTTGCTCTCGGGCGACATTAGCAGCGTTGAGAAGATTGCCAGGAGGTGGGACGACTTCCTCTTTGCCAACTACAACGCCCTCCTACGAACCCAGTTTGATACCTATGTATTGAGCCGATGCTCACCAACTATGAGCTCGACTCTGACTCAAAACTTTGCCTCGTTTGACGCTGTTCAGTTTCTGGGAGACCCGCGGGGTGTTGAAAAGAGACTCATCCGCTCGCTAGAGTCACAGGAAAGAGTTCGCGACGAGGCAACAGAGCCTAGTAAAGCTCTGCAAGCCGCGTTCGTTGCAAAAGAAGTCGGGCGTCACTTGTACGAACAAGGTCTTGTCATGACTGCGGATGCAAATGCAAACGGCCAATCCATTCTTCTACCGTCTTCCAAGCCCATCGACTCTAATATTATGAAGAAGAAGTACTTCAGCTTGGATCAGCACCAGGGACTCCGTCTTGTATCCCACATCTTTGTGATCACCACGCTAATGGAGAAGCTCAACTCTGCCCAGGGAATCATTTCTGGCTCCTTGACGCCGCCACAGTGGTTATCTGGCCAGGAAAGTATCCTAGCGGGGTACACCGACTACTTGCGCCGCGCCGGTCTCCAAGAGCTCATCCCTCTGTATTGCTCAATACTACAGGCACCAAGGCAGTACGACGTTCTGAGCTGGAATCTGATCCACGAAGAAGATCCTGAGCAGCGTCTACTGCAGCTGAAACTGATAAAGAAGGCTGGAATCGACGTGTTGAAGTTTGTGGAGAGGCAGGTGTGGCTCTTTTACGACGCTTTGGGAGAAAAGGCTCCCCAACAAGCCTCATTTAACATCATCAGCGATGCTCCCTCAACACCACAGTTCGGAAAGCTGATCAAGGCGGACTTTTTTGGTTATGACGAGGGTGTTGTGCAGAATGACCACGACCGGGTGATCTGTGCATTGGAGTGGCTTATGATGGTGGATGGGATGTGGCCTGAAGTCTTTTCCACGGGAACAAAGGTTTACAAGTTCTTTTTGCGTACGTGAAACTGTTGCATGAGTGAACATTGGATTACATGGCTGACATCTTGATAGGAAACGCGAACCTGGGAGCAGCCCGACGACTCGTGGAAAAGATTTCCTTTGAAAAGATTATTCAAGGAATCTCAGGGCAAGAAGAAACTGATATTGCATGGTATGAAGATGTAGACTTCTGGGCCAGGCTGCTGGAGCGCAGCGAAATTTCAAATATGAACCCTGAGCGGATCATGGCAGAGGCACGAAACTTCCGTGCGCTCGAAAGTCTCGTCAAGGCTTTGGATGCCTTGGAGACAGTAGCCTCACTAATGGTTCTCTCGACTGAGTATGTGCCTGCTATCCCGATATTTGAAATACACGTTTGACTAACTTGGGGGTCAGACTCACTCATGGAGATCGGGACTTTTGGGGTCCAGCCAGCGAGGGAATCAAGAATGTCAAGGAGTTTATGAAGCCCTTGCTGAAGGGATGGCTGATACCAGCAATTAAGGGTAGGTTTTTGTGACTAACAGCTATAAAAATTTCGACTTTAGATGGCTAACAGATTGGATGTCACAGGTGGAGACGAAGAGCTGCGAGACATTCGAGCTGCATACCTGCCAGAGACCGTCTTGGCATATATCAGCGCTCTTCAGTTTGCCGGCACTGGCCTATCCCGAGATAACTTATTAGAGTGCATGGAGCTCGCATCTTTGGTAGCAGAGCGCGAGTCGGACCTGAAGGATGCCTTTACGGATGCTCACCGCATGACGGAACTCGTCGAGGCCTTTGCAGCCTGCAGCAAAGCGCTGGCCATAGCCACCGGGGAGAAGAGGCCATCTGGTTCTGGCAGCAAGAGGCTGCGGGAGATGGGATGGTCGCGAGATTTGTGGTCTGTCAAGTCAGGATCTGGAGATGCGAGCGTGATTGGGCCTGCGTAATTTGACTGGCAGCAATTTCTCCTTACTCTTGGAGACTCTCCCTCTCTTTCTCCTGTATAGCATGTGTGGAATTTTTTTTTCGGACCAGTTGGGATAAAATCAAGGGCTTTATGGGATTTACTTATCATTTTTTCTTCTCTTTTCTCCTTGTTATGTTTACTAGGTGTTGTATGGTCATTCTTTTTCTAATAGGTGGATTGGAATGGAGAGAAAGCATAATAAAGCGCTGGGAGATTGCTCGATTTCTAGATAAAGTGAAAAAAAGGAAAAAAAAAAGAAAGAAGAGAATGGAAGAGAGGAATACATTGTGTGTGTGTGCGTTGAAGATATTGGACGGCTTTATACACGCGGTTACATACCCATGTAGATGATAGAAGCACTCATGTGAAGGTCATTTCAACTTGCTCGCCCATCGCTTCTTTTCTAATGTACTTCCCATAGTATTTTGGTATGTTGAGACGAGAGGAAGCAGCTATTTGGTGCAGATCTGCTTTCTTCTCGATCGATTCGGATTTCTTTGAATCAAAACAAATCGAATACCGGGAGTTTACTGGACAATCACAACCGATGATATGCACAAAAAAAGATCAAGTTGAAAGTTCAGGGTATTAATGAATTATATATATACAGTTATAGAACAGATATTGCCCCAAGCCATTGCCCCGAAACTTCTCATAAACCATAAACCTGTTTTAACCTTTGTACATTAAACAATGCTAATTAATAAAACAAAAACCAATCTCCAATTGAGAAACACTCCATCCTAGACTTCTTATGCGAACAAGGTGCAAGCCGTAGCGTTGAGCTGCGTGCAGTAAGTCATCTGGATGGGCATGGCGTTGACACCACGCGCAAGCATACGCTCACGGAACTCGTTCAAGCGAGGCGTCACCTCGAGCTGGCTGCGGTTCTGGCCGGTCGCGGTATCAACGTTGCCAGACCACCAGACCTCGCCGGCGGCACTGCCACGGGGCCAGATGATGTTGTCCATGTTGCTGCCGTCAATCATCTCACTCCAGATGGCAAGCTCTCCTCCCAAGACGTTCTTGGCATTCGCCTTGGAGACGCCCTTGGCAGGGTCGTGAGAGTAGATGAGCCTCCAGTTCTTGGTGGGAGCACACCAGTCGCTGAAGGGGTAGTAGGTGTTGAAAGAGTCG